TTTCATTCCTACTGTTGTTCTTGAAAATGCGGTCAGATTTTTCTCTGTCTAGAATATCTTTTAGTACTCTTTGTAATGCTGACTTGGCACTCATGAAGTTCTTCAATTGTTCTTTGTCGTGAAAATATTTTAATTTTCCATTGAATTTGAGGGTTAGTTTAGCAGGATACATCAGTCTTGGTTGGAAGCTGTTCTGTCTTAGGACCTCTAATGCTTTGCTCCAAGCTCTTCTCAATTGGATGGTTTGTGCTGAGAAGTCTGCTGTCATTCTGATGGCCTTTCCTTTATAGTAACCTGTTTGTTTTCTCTAGCAGCTTTTAATATTCTGTTGTTTTGCTGGAGATCTGGGAAATGGACTATTATATGTGTGGGTGTAGTTTTATTTTGGTTGTGGTTGTTTGGAGTTCTATATGCCTCATTTACTTATACATCAGGTTCTGTTTCCATGCCGGGGAAATTTTCTGCTATTATTTCTGCAAATATTCTTTTTATGTCAGTTGTGTTGCCTCCTGCTGTTTCATTGACTCTTGTAAGTCTTACATTATTCCTCTTTGCCTCGTCTTGCAGCTGCTGAATTGACTTTTCCTGGATCCTTGTTGATTTTACAAGATCTTTCTTTCATGGTTGCTAGCTGCCATGCTGTCTTCAAAGTCTGAGATTCTATCTTCAGCTTCATTCAAGCGGTTTTGGCAGCTTTCAGTGGCAACTTTGTTTTCCTGGAAGTCTCTTTGAATCTGGTTCATGCATTCTAAGTCCTTTCTATATTTTTCATTGAACGCTTCTGTCCCTTGCCTTTTTTTTCTGTGTGCTTATGTGTTTCTTCTTTAGACTTTCTGAGCAGTTCCTTCATTATTATTGTCATTTCATTTTTTTGCCTGAGAGATTATTTCTGATCTCATCTCTTCTATGACCTTGTGGAGTTGTTTCTTTACTTCCATTGCAATCATTTCAGCTATTTCAGGCATGTGTTTACCAAGTTCTCCTGTGTCGATGTCTCCTGGACTTTTTCTGAGTGGGTTTGAGTTCTGGAATTGTGTTTTAGTTCTTCATTTTGTCATGTTTGACACCAGATACAGAAAGCCCAGTTTCCCTCTTCAGTGGCTGCACAGCAACGGCCACTAGTGTCCCTAGTTTTCCTGTTGGTCAGGTTTGCCCCTCAGTGACCCCTGAGACGCACTACTTAGTCTGGGGTTTTCCGGCAGTTGTTGATTTCTATTTAGTTATCCCCAGTCTCTGACGTGGGCATTGGTGTCAGCTGATGGCAGACTGTCTGATCCAGCGTCCCATTGCATTTTAGGGCACATGCACGGCCCAGACTCGGGTTGCACTGGTGTGACAATCTTGGTCCATTGGACCTATGCCCCCAGGCAGTTCGGGGTACAGGAAAAACCCAGACACAAACTGCAGGGTCGACAGTTTGTGAAGCACCTGATTCTGTGTCTCCAGTCAGTTCAGGACACATACAGGAACCAGATGCAGGCCAGATGGGCAGCAATCACAGACTCCCCATGCCTGCGACCCCCTAGGGGCTCTGGGTGAATGTAAAGCACAGACTCGACCAGCAGCTCTTGGAACAACCACTCACTTGATGCAGGGCGCACGCAGTGAGAGGCCACACGCGCTGCCCCCAGCTAGAACAGTCTGTGGGGCTTCTGAATGAGGACCTCCTGTCTGCCTTGGGTGCCTGGAGTGTAGAAAGTCAGTCTGTAATGGTGTCGGGGTCCTGGCTCGCCTGCTCTGACCCCAGGAAGTAGATGGGAAATACCTGACTCTCGCCTGGAGTTTCAGCTGGGAACAGTGACAGCGTGAGTAAGGCACGGACTCAAACCATGGGACCAGCAGCTCTTGGAGCACTTGCTCACTTAGCACAGGGTGCACTCAGGGCGTGGCCACACCCCCACACATTCTCTTTTTATAGGGCTTTGCAGAAGCATTTTTGGAACATCTGTGGAAAAAATTACAGGATCCAAATAATCCTGCCATCATCAGGCAAGCTGCTGGAAATTATATTGGGAGCTTTTTGGCAAGAGCTAAGTTTGTTCCTCTTATGTAAGTAACCTAATTTTCCAAGTACTTGTTAATATTATGCTTTATAAAGATGATAGCATTGTATCAGGTAAAAGAAGTACCTGTCTTGTGCGGGGGAAGGGGGCTATTTTTATAGTGAAAAAGATCTGTCCCCCCCTACTATACATAAGACACTTAAATTTCCAGTAAGTATTTTCATAATAAAGTGTCTCCTGTTTTTGATGTAAATTCTCTTTCAAAGCTTTTGTTAACTGTTCTGTGTGGTTTAACTTGAATCTTCATGGATAAAATACAGCATTATAGACTATTTTGATTGATTTTTTTAGAGTTGTCATTTTTCATGTGTATTTCAAATCAACTGTATCTGTTAGAGCTGAAGAAAAGCCCTTTTAAAGGTAACAGGAATGACTAAGAATGTAGCCCAGTGATAGAGCATGTGCTTAACCTGTAAGGCCCGTAGGATCAAACCGTACCACCAAAAAGTAAATATCCAAAGCCAGTTTCTTCACATGATCCGTGAAGTTCACTTTAGGCAAAGATGTTCTTAAAAACCCTTTTGGAACAACTGAATCCATCTGGTTTAAATTGTTGACCATAGGACTACATCAGAATACCATGTAGAGCAGTGAAGCCCACCATACGCTTTCTTTTTTTTTTTGAGATGTTGGTTCTTTGATCATATTATCCTCAGGGTAAGAGCCCATCCAAGAGGCCCTTTAGAGTTCATTAGGAGAAACTGTCCTCCAACCCTTGGGATGTCCTTAGGGGCTTACCTGTTGTTTTTAGAAGGTGGGTGGTGCTTTACCCTATACTGTAATTGAAAGGTTGTCTTCCATAGTCCATCTTCCTTTCATTTCCTCTACTTCTTCCTTTTTGTTCTGTTTGGTTTGGTTTGGGTTTTTTTGTGATGTTGGGGATTAAACCCAGGACTTTGTGTGTCCTCGACAATCACTTAACCACTGAGAAGCTACACCCTCAATCCATGGGTAATATATAAAGCCTGTGAACTTTCTATGGTTTGTAATGAAAGGCAGTTGTGTGTATCTTTGTCACTGTAGTTTTCTCATGAACAAGTAAAGTTGACTTGAGCTTTTCTTCTTTCCAGTACTGTAAAGTCATGCCTCGATCTCTTGGTTAACTGGCTGCACATATACCTTAATAACCAGGATTCAGGAGCAAAGGCTTTTTGTGATGTTGCTCTACATGGCCCATTTTATTCAGCCTGCCAAGCTGTGTTTTACACCTTTGTTTTTAGACACAAACAGCTTTTAGACGGAAACCTAAAAGAAGGTCAGTAAGAAGGATTTATTTTCTCAAACTGGATTTTCTTAGTGTACTTGTCATACTTCAGAATGGTAATTCTTTGTTTTTGAAATTTTAATGGAAACTATGGATTTAGAAAACTGCATGTGCAGTCACACTTCAACAAAAAGTTCCAAGCATTTCACAGGCTCCTAGAAGCTTTTCAAGCCTCCTCTTTAACTATAGATTGGTTTGAGGTTGAGAACCCCTACTTCAGAGAATGAAAGTGAAACCACCTTCAGCGATGAGGCTGCTTTTGTGCTGTGTTGGTGCCCTGCACAACACTTTTGATGCACCCTGTCCTTGTCCTAGGAACAGCCCATAGAAGGACTGTGCTTGAGGTCACATAGTTATTGCCAAGATTAGAGCCCAAAGCCATGCTAGGCTGATTGTAAAGCTTGTGGTCACAGGATTATGCTACTCTGCCTAAAGTATGGAGGGATAATTCACCTTTCAGTTTTGTTGACTTCTGAGGTTTTTTGTAACAAACCTACCAGATGAAGTGTGTTAATGTATTTTTCAGATAAAGAGAGTACAAAGAACAGTGTAATTAAATCGGTTTAGGTTGTTTTATTTTCATGAAAAATCCACTAAGTTACAGCTATTTCCTGTAAGGTAAGGCTTCTCTGCCTTGGCTCTCGACATTTTGAGCCAAATAATCCTTCACCGTGGGGGGCTATCCTGGGTGTTGTATTGCAGCATCCCTCACATCCACCTACCAGGTGCCCACACACACATACACAATCTCTCAATTGTGACAACTAAAACTGTCCAGACACTGCAGCCTGTCCCCTGGTGACACAGTCTCCTGAGGGTGAGAACCAGAGCTTGGTACTGTTGTGTGCTTGTGTGCTGTCACGTGTATTTACTTATACCCTGCACGCTAAAAAATGTGGGCATTAAAGTTGTGTGAACTAAGGCCAGGTATAGTGGCACACTCCTGTAATCCCAGCATTCGGGAGGCTGAGGCAAGAGGATCATTGCGAGTTTGAGACCAGCCTGGGCTATAAAATGAGCTCAAGGCCAGCCTGAACTGCTTAGCAAGATCCTGTCTCAAAAAGACCAAAAAAAAAAAACTTGCATGAACCAGTAGGAAAATAAGGCTTTACAAAGTAAGGGAATCTCTGCGTAAATGCCAGAGATCTTGAAAAATTTCTGGCAAATTGTGACATCCCATTTAAGTAATTTTTTTTAATCAAAGTACATGTTGAAGAAATTTCTTAGAAACTAGTCTTAAACACAAGCCACAAGTTGGTCTGCTTGCCTGTATATTACCAATGTAGGAGAGGTGTATGAGAAAGGCTATCATGGTAGCACCCAGGCTGTCCTCAAACTTGAGATCCTTGTGCCCCAGCCTTCTGAGTTACTGGGAGTACAGGTGACCCTAACTATGCCCAGCTTGTAGGAGATAATATTAATTAGTTCCAAGGCAGAGGTTTTGTCTCAAAAAGGGAAAGAAATATAAGCTAATCACACCTAAAAATAAGCTGAACTTAACTCATAATCCATGACATGCAATTTAAAACAAGGTACTGTACTTTTGTATTGTGGTGTGTTAGGAGTTTAGCCATAATCACACTTCATGGTTTTTCCCCCTTCTATAAACACAGTATATGCTGAACTTACAAATGTATGCATTCCACATTTTCATAGAACCATACAGCTTACAGAGAACATCTGCTTACATGAGTCTTTAAAGGAATCAACTATATTCTTCAGAAAAGCTGTTTTAGTCATAAATGAATGCAGTCAACCTCATAATATATCTAATCTGACCTGTATATAAAGCATTCTAAAAATGAAAAAAGCCAGGGATGGTGCCACACAGCTCTATTCCCAAGCCTGGGAGGCTGAGGCAAGAGGATTGCAAAGTGTGAGCCCCAACTGGGCAATTTAGCAAGACCTTCCCTCAATAAAAAAATAAGTAAGGGCTGGGGGTATAGCTCATTGTGAAGGCCCTGGGTTCAGTCGTCACTACAGTACAGCAAGAATGAACAAATGAATGATGAGGCACATACTCTGCTACTAGCTACAGAGTCTCACTATGTAGTTCAGACGGGCTTCAAACTCAGGATCTTCCTGTCTCAGCCACACAGGTGCTAGAATTACAGGCATGTGCCACCACTCCTGGCTGTAAATTGTTTTTTTTAGTATATTTGCTGTGAAAGTGAGCACAATTTTTTTTTAATATGTGGTAATGTGTGCTTTTGAAGATATCCTAGACTTTTCTATTTGTACCTTTTAAAAAAATCTTTTTTTCTTTAAATTGAAGGTTTAAGGTACCTTCAGAGTCTAAATTTTCAGCGTATAGTGATGAGCCAACTAAACCCTCTGAAGATTTGCCTGCCATCAGTGGTTAACTTCTTTGCTGCTATCACAAAGTAAGTTATTTACAATTTCTTTTATGGATGATATTTAAAAGTAAATGTGTAAGGCTCACAAACTGCTGTGATAAGGTATTCAAATATATATTTTTGTTTGTCTTATAAAATTCCATTACCTTTTTTGAGAATTAATAATAGAACATTAAATGCCAGTCATGGTGGTACATGCCTGTAATTCCTGCACTTGGGAGGCTGAGGCAGGAGGATTACCTTGTGTTCAAGGCCAGCCTGGGCTACACAATGAATTCGAAGCCAGTTTGAACTATATAGCGAAACCTTGTCCAAAAAAAACAAAAAAAGAAAAGAAAAATTAAAACACTAGTAACCCCACTCTTACAGGAAGTACTTTGGTATCAGTGGAAATTGCTACTACTTATTTGAAGGGGCTAATTTAACAAAAGTATAGGCAGTTTGCCTAAGGCAACTAGTAAGTTGAGAACGTGTGAACTGGAGGTTCTTAACAGACTGACACTTGTAATAGCAATAAAAAAAAACTGGTCATGAGGTAAGTATTCAGTAGGAGATTAGTTTAGAAAAGAACTGTCTAATCTCAGGCTAAGTAGCTACACAGCTAATACATAGCCTTTGCTGTGTTTTAGGCACAGTCTAAGCACTTCACAGAGAGCTCATTTAATATTCACACAACCTTGTGATTGTCTTATTTACCCTATTTATAAAAAGGGAGATGGAGGCACAGAGAAATTAAATTCCTTGCTTAATGTCATATAGCTAGACAGCAGAGCTGAGATGTAAATGCAGGCTGCTGGGGTGAGGGTGTAACTCAGTGGTATATCACTTGCCTGGTGTGCATGAAGTCCTAGGCTTAGTCTCCAGCAGCAGAAGTTTAAAAAAACAAATGTTCCCAGTCTGGTTCCTGTGTCAGCACTCACTAAATTATTCTGCTCCAAGGAGACAGTACTTACTAGACTTTGGGCATTTAAGTAGTACATTTAGGCAGGATCATAGCTTAAAATCTTCAACAGTTAGATTGTTCTTCTTTTATGCCTTGTCCTTACGCAGCTTGCTCCTCACACTTAGCAACCTTAATTATTTGCTGGGCATGTAGTTCAAGGTATCCTTTCTCCTGAGATCTCAAATGATAGTAAGGCTGAAGGTTGTAGCTCAGTGATAGGGTGTTTATTTGGCATGTATGGCACCCTAGGTTTGATAATGTTTGATCCTCAGCACTGCCAAAAGGAAAAGTAAAGGGATTAGAAAAGGAACCAAGAAGCAATAGCACTGAGTGGGTGAAAGACTGATGCACATTGATAAAGACAGGAAGCAGCTGAAAGGGTATAGACTGATGAAGTAAAGCAGAGGAAGCAGCTCCTAGAACAGCCATGAGATGAGGCAAAGACAGCATCTGATGACCCAGCTGGTCATAGGCTTGAGGCTCAGGGTCGGCATGTGCAGCTGACGCAAAGAGAAACGTGCGGCAGAGAGCAGGGGATTGAAATAAAGGTCAGTGTAGGAATTTATGCAGAGCAGTCTGCAGGTGTCGGTTTTGCTTTCTAATGGTTCTGAGCTACAGCTGTGTTCACGCATAAGGCTTTACTTCAGCTACTGTGGTTTTTTCTTTTTTTTAGTATCAGGCTTTTTTTTGAGATTTTATACTGTGTTAGTTTTTCAGGATTGGGAACAACAGTTTAGGAACATTCTTGGCTATGTTCCAGTGTACAAGGTCATACTCCTCATCACATACTCAAAAGTAGAGTAGCTGAGGGCTGTAGAAGATTCAGGGCTTCACTTGCACCAGATGTGTGATTTTGCTGATTTTTATGTTCCCACCAGGAGGGAGAGATTGCCATCTTCGATTATCAGAACAGAAATAGAAAGATGTTGCTTAAAGTGCCAGTAATGACCTAAGGATCCAGGAGTAAATCCCTGGCTACTGTGAGAGTGGAGGGTTTTCTTCAGCAGCAGCCAGGTTTCCAATAACTACTATTCCCCCTCAGTAGCTGCTGAGTCCCCTTTTCACCAATGCCCCCAGTGCTTTTGTAAACAGAAATAAACCACATATCTGTGTAAACTAAGAATTTTGCTTTGTAGACATATTAATTTTTCATAATACCTATTAATCTAAGCCTACTTTTATATTCCAAGTGGTGATAGCCATGTTTTCTTTCATAGCAAGCTTGTAATAGGCCTGGGAAACTGCCCTAAAAGTGTGTTTTATGTTACTTTTTTCTTGTACTTACTATGTTCAGCAATCGTGCTGTGATCATTATAACTGTCACGTGTTGCATCCATGCAGGAGTAATTCCAGCCTGTTAATTGTCTCCATCTGTGTTGGTTTTGGTGCTCCACAGTAAATACCAGTTAGTCTTCTGCTACACTGTCATTGAGAGGAACAACCGGCAGATGCTACCAGTTATTAGAAACACAGCTGGAGGGGACTCAGTGCAGACCTGCACAAATCCTCTTGATACCTTCTTCCCCTTTGATCCTTGTGTGCTTAAGAGGTAGGTCATTCCAAGCACTAGACACTAACAGCAGTGAGTTTAACTGTGATAGGTACTTGGTTTTGCTAAATTTGAGATTTAGGGTGTCTTTGAACCTACCTAAAACACACCCCATCATTTTGAACACAGTCATCACTCTTAGCAATGTATTTTTTTTTCCTGTTAAAACTTATTTTTTAAAATTTAGCTGGGCATGGTGGCACATGCCTACAATCCCAACATTCGGGAGGCTGAGATGGAGGAATCACTGCAAGTTCGAGGCCAGTCTGGGCTACAGAGTGAGTTCAAGGCCAGCCTGAACTGCATAGTGAAACCTTGTCTCAAAAAGACAAATAAGGGGCTGGGGATTTAGCTCAGCGGCAAAGCACCTGCCTGGCAGGAGCAAGGTTGTGAGTTTGATTCCTGGTACTGGATGAAAAACAAAAAAACAAACAAACCAAAAAAAGACAAATAAATTAAAATTTAAACATGCACTGTATGTTTTGGTCACTCCTTGTAGCTTCCATTTGAAATATGGGAAATAGAAGCTACTTGAAATCTCATCTGTAGGGGTGAGTGAAGTCAACAAAAAAAGAGCCACATCAGTTACAGTACTTCATAGAATATTTTTTAATATTATTTGAACTGTAGTTTTCTTGGTTTTAGAAAATGGATCTTATGAGAAAAAAACATACCATGCTGTGACTTTTGATGAAATAGTCAACTTGACTTTGAAATGTGATCCCTGTTCACAGGTCAAAGAAATTCATTGATCCTATTTATCAGACATGGGAAGACATGAGTGCTGAAGAGCTTCAGGAATTTCAGAAACCTGTTAAAACGGTAAATTTATGATGCTACACACTTTCTCAGAAATCTTTTGTGGATACAGGCCACAGGCATATAGTAAATAGAAGTGTTACATTTTATTAATATTATGTCTTATTCATTTTATCTTTGCAAAAGTGCGGACCTGAGTAATGTTCTTACTGTCATTTTGGTGCTAGGATGGAGCCCAGGGCCTTGCGCATGCTGGCAAGTGCTCTACCACTAAGTTACCTTTCCCTGCCCCATCTCATTCCTATTCTTAATAAGTAATTTTTTGGAAAGGTTAATTTCTTTTTGTCTTTATATTTTGTATTTTGGGGATCATTCACTCACAGTCTTTTTAGATACAAGGGCTATAACTGAGCAAGAATGCCATGTTATATTATCTGCCCTCATTGAGATTAATTATAAAGTGTGGTGAGCAATTATTTGGGTTATTTGTAATAATGAACTAATTACCAAAAGTATTTAATTTTGAAATGAAGATATTTTATCTTCATCTCTATAGAAATAGCACACCCTGTCATGCGTAGTGGCACATGCCTGTAATCCCAGCACTCAGGAGGCTGAGGCAGGAGAATTGCCACAAGTTCTAGGCTAGCCTGGACTACATAGCGAGACCCTGTCTCAAAAAAACCAAAAAAGAAAGAAGGAAAAAAACAAGTAAACTAGCACATTCTTGTGGAAAGGAATTTTTGGTTTTGAGATGAGGTCTGCTGTGTTGTCTGCGCTGGTGTTAAAATCCTGGGCTCAAGTGATCCTCCTGCCTTCAGCCTCCCTGGTAGCTCAGATTACAAGTGTACACCACTGTGCCAAGCAGGAAAAGAATTCTTGAAAGCTTTCAAACCATCATTTGTGATCTTATCAGTAATCTGGATTTTGTATCCCAGGAGATAGTAGAAGATGAAGATGATGACTTTTTGAAAAGTGACGTGCCTCAGAACGATTCTGTGATTGGGATTACACCGAGCTCCTTTGATGCACATATCCGAAGTCCTTCCAGTAGTGTGGGCTCCCCACCTACGTTATACATGCCTGTCCAGGCCCCTTTGATCTCAAGAATTCATGATTGAGGTGCATTGCTCTTCCCAGCATGGCCTTCAGTGTCCAGCCTCACACTGCTTAGGCGTTGACTGGACTGTAGTACATACGCAGGCACTGTATGTTGTACTTACACTTCACCTAGTATCTGAATAGACATTTTTTTGTTATGTTTTCTTCTTTTGCTCCCCTTACAGACAAAAAGAACAGACTATCATGTGCAATATTTTACAGAGGGGTTAATGATAAATGTTGAAGACTGCTTGATAATTTAATGTATTTTTTAATGTCATTGTATAATTTTTAATATGAGCATTAGCCCATTTTAACAAATTGCCTTTTTTAACATAGGTTCTTTTTAGAGCCATAGTCACAGGACTTTCTTGGTCTGATTTCAGAAAAATCCTTTAAAATAAATCCTGTATTTAAAAACTAGAATGTTGCCGGTCATGGTGGCACACACCTGTAATCCCAGCCCTCTGGGAGGCAGAGGCAGGAGGATCATTGATAGTTCAAGGCCAACCTGAACTACATAGTGAGGCCTTGTCTCAAAAAAACAATAACAACAACAACAACAAAAAAAAACTAGAATGTTTATTTTGGCTGTATTGCTTACTTTCTGCTGTAATTGTATTTATGTGTTGGGACTTCACTGAGTTCAGAGAAGATGGAAGGAAAATAGGGAGATGCCAGAGCTAGGCTAAGCTACTACACTTTTGAGCTGGCATTGATGAACCTCTCCAGGGACTTCAGAGGAATGTAGAAGACAAGAGGGAAGAAAGGGAATTTATGGAAACAGGATCAGACAGATACTGTACTTGTTCAGTGTAAAAATGGATTTGAAAGAAAAGTGGAGGTCCAGGTAAAGGTAATTCATGTTCACGAAGTGTGTTTGGGCTTTTGTAAAGCACAAGACAGTATATTACCCTTTGACTCCCAAGCATTCTGTTAGAATGAACTTGCTCATTTACACCAGTTACATTTGGTTTTGACCAGTATCATTTGGGGTTTTTTGCAATGTTTCTCAGTTATTTGGTGGAATGGTTTGCTATCAGCAATATTCCTGCTGACTCCATCTAAAGGCTGTGCACATCATCGATGCAACTTAATGAAATTCTTCTGGAGCAAGTCTCCATACTTTTATAACACTGAGAGAAAAGTCTCAACCTTGCTTTGAACAACTTTGTACAAGCGCTTCCAAAGTCCATTTGAACCTTGAGTGTATTTCCCTTTCCTTCCTTATGTGTATACTTTGTGTATTTGTGAAAAGTATATTTATTATCTGCCATGTCTGTTTATTTCAAGGCAAACAGTATTTTCTTGATCACAAATATTTTGTAAAGAAATACTATTTCTTTCCTAGGGCTTTTGTATATATGTACTCTCGTATAATCACATTGATGGCAATGTAGAGTTTGACTTTCAGTCTGTAAATAACGTTTTTGGAAAAAGGAAATCTTTATTGCTTTAAAAATTTTTGGATATTGGTGATTTTCTTTTGGCGACTTGATTCAAACTCATTTTAGAACCTTTAAGGTTCTCTTTTTTAACTGCTGACAAAAACATGGATTTTTGTATACAGGATGAAATAAGTAAATGAAATTGTATCCACAGAAATTAGTGGGAAGTGAGTGGGGTCTCTGGCTTGGAAAGTAATTATAATATAGAATGTATTCATACAAATAAGTCTTACTTTTAAAGGGGGTTGAGAAAAATATCCATTGTAAAAATACAACAATATGGTTAATCTGGAACTTTTATTCTTACATCAATAAAGAAGGGTACCTTAATAAAAAAAGGCTTCTCAGGTAAACATTCTTTTGATGTATGTGTATGTGTGCGGTAAACTGCTTGAGTCTTCACTGTTAAAGGGGAGCTGTCACTAGTGTATACTTTGAGAGTGTTCAAAAATGAACGACACAGTGTAATGAGGATGGCTTCCATGTTATTTCATGTGAAGTGCCCACAACTTTCCCTGAGCACACCCAGCCACACAGGCCTGAGTAGGTACAAGGAAACAAACACCTCTCCAAAGAAAATTACATGCTTTGGAAAAACATCTATAGAAAAATAGTGAAATACCCTTGAAATTACATGAACATAATGGCACTGGGGGCAGGTGAGCAAGATGATTTTTCTTATTTAAGCAGGTAACTTAGTCCAGGACTCAGACACAGTCTGGAGCACTGATGGTGAACCTTTTAGAGCTTTCAGTGATAATAAACAGCAGGCTGCAGGAGAGTGCCATAGGTTTGCCACTCCTGGTCTAGAGATTCATAAACCTGAAGTTACTTGGGGAAAAAAAAAAATCACCTAAAAGTTAAAAACCATTTTGTGGGCCAGGGATATAGCTCAGCAGCACAGTGCCTGCCTGGCAAGTGCAAGGTCCTGAATTTGAGTCCCAGTACCAAAAGAAAAAAGATAAAGCCTGAAAACCATTTTGTGTTTTTGAGACAGGGTCTCACTATGTAGCTCACTATGTATTAAACTCACTCCCCAAGATCCTCCTGCCTAAACTCATCCAGTTCTGGGATTGCAGGTATCCACCACCACATTCACCAGGCTTGGAGAGACGTTAAGTAACTTGGTCAAAAGTTACACAGCTTATAATTGATCACTCTGGATTGTAACCTTGCTTTTAACCCACATATTCCTGCTTGGGATTTACATAATTTTACTAGCATTACAAATTGCTTATAGCCCTCTTGTCTAGGAATATATTAAGGTGGTATCACTAGCTTACAGTATTATTTGTAAAACTTTTGGCAAGTTGAAGCCAACTTATAATAGGTGTTGATACCTCCATGTTCTGGTACAAACTTTGAGCAAATGTTCTCACGTGGGTGTAGGGGTAATAATACAGAGAAGTAATTTCCTGATAGCAAGAAATAAAATTATTTTGGGTAAGAAGTTGAGTAAGCTGGCCTGGGACCATTCCTGAGTGTCTTCTACAGTCACTTTTCTAAGTACTGGTGTTTTTGTAGAATGGGGCCTGTAAACTGAGGGAAGATTGGATGCAAAAGACAGATGATGAAGTTCCTGCCCTGTGTGAGGCGGAAAGTTGGGACTGTCTAAACAGTACCTGAGGTCTTAGAACAGTCCGATGGGGAGACACCTCCCACCGTGGGTGCCTCTCCTCAGAGCAGTAGCTGTTTCCCAAGAGTCCCCAGCCCATTTGTGTTGTGTCCATGCGCTTTAAGCACCACGTATTACTGACGATTTTGTGTGCCTGTGTGTTGGAACTCAACCCAGGGCCTTTGCAGTTGACTTACACACCCAGTCCTTTTTAATTTTTAGGCAGGGTGTTGGCTAAATTCTCCAGGCTGGCCTCAAAGTCGTGATCCTTCTGCCTTGGTCACCCAGAGTGCTGGGGTTAGAGGCAAGCGCCAGGACTGAGTGTGGGTTTAGCACAGTAAGGGCCTATTTTCTCAGTTTAAGACAGTTTACGTCAAACAGCATGGTGGCACATGCCTGTAATCCCAACACTAGGGAAGGTGACGCAGGAGTTTAGCCTGGAGTTCGAGGCCAGCCTAGGCTACAAAGTGAATCCAAGGCCAGCTTGAACTACATGGGCAAACTCTGTCTCAAAAGAAAAGGATGGTTTCCCTCAGTTTGTTGTGTAAAAATCCTGTGGGGCAGACACTCCCAAACTCAAACTTGAGTAAGGTCACTCATCGGAGGAAAGGTGGGGCAGGGCCTTAAAGTGAAGCTGGCCAACCCAAAATCCGCCCTCGGGCCGGAGCCGGACCAGACTGCCACTCCGAGTGCAGAGCGTGAGCAGAGAGCCCCCCAATGTTCGCAGCTGCTCCACGTGCCCCGCCCTGGCTCCCTCCCTTTCCAGGCTATATTTCCCTGCGCCCCTTGCGGGGGAGGCCGACTGGGGCCAGCTCTGGCTCTAGTTCCGCGTTTGGACCACATTTCCCGTGAGATTTTGCGCCCTCCTGCTGTCCCCCGGCTTCTTCGAGCGCTGCCTCCTTCCGGACTACACTTCCCAGCAACGTCCGCGGCGGGGCGGGAGGACGGGAAGTGGCGGTCCGAAGGCGGGGCCGGTGGCGGCGCCGGACTCGGGAGGCGCGAGCCTGCCAGGAGCCATCCGACTGCTGTCTCCGTTATGCCGCTGCTCGTGGACGGGCGGCGAGTGCGGCTGCCGCAGTCCGCCGGGGAGCTGGTTCGAGCGCACCCGTCTCTGGAGGTGAGTGGGCTCCAGGCGGGAGCTTCGGGGCCTGCCCGAGGGGACCTGCCAGGGGGCGCGAGCTGTGCTCACCCCGCCGCCGCCGCTCTCGCCCTTCCCTCTGCGAGTTTAAACTTGGCACATTCGGAACCTGGCCCCGAGGGCCCACTTCTGTTTTCACTTAGGGATCCGCGAAGCTTTTGCCTTCTCCAGACCTTAGAGGGCATCTGTTGAGGCCCCTCTTTTACAGAAGAGGGGACGGGACCCCCGTGTTAAGTGACTTGCGTAGGGTCGCACAGCACCGCAGCTTGAGGACGCGTCGGGACCCCGTTCTCTGGCGATGCCTCCCCGAATTGCGTAGTTGATTGCGGAGTTAGGCAAATCTGGGTGCCCGCCTTTGCTCACTGGCACACGCAGGGGACCCCTTCCCCCGTTTGTGGTGAGCGTTGCGTGGTCCTTGGGTTCTCGGAAAGTAGGGGGTTGGCCCATGGTGGGCTGCAAACAGAGTTCGGGCAGAGGTATCCCGGCGGGGTCCCCTAGTTCTTTTCCTCTTATGCTTCTACTCTCGGAGCATAAAGCACCTGGTTATTTTTAGCCCAAAGAAAGGGCTCTCCTTTCGCTCAGCTGGGCCTGGTGAGGACCACGCCCTGATGGAAGAGTGGGGGTTGTCTTTGTTTTTCCAGATCTCTGAACCCCTAGTCCATGCTCACGCAGGGAATGTTGGGAACAGGGTCAGTGGTGTAAAAGACAATGCGGATCAAACATCCCACGTGCCACAGATCCAGTTGAAGTGGAATTAGCCCGCCCCGCTGATTTCAGAGATTAATGTTGACGTACTAATATGTGTTGGGCACTTGTACCAACCACAGTCCAACTCTCAGCATATTCACAGTCTAGTAGGGGAAATTTTTTAAATCACAGAAATGGCCCATATATAAAGTGTTAAGTGCCATAAAGAAATAGTGCCCCCTGTCATTCTGATGGAAAGCAGATGAACAGGAGGAGTCAGCGTCTGTGGGGCTAGGGAAAGCTGCAAAGGTTTCTTTTGGAGTAGCTGTACAAGTTTGTTATTTGTTTAAAGTTTGTTCTTTTGCCAGCAACCTTTTTTTTTTGTTTATTTGCCCCTTGATCTGACCCCCAGATGTAAGCTTCCTGAAGGCACATAGTGTCTTCACCTTTGTGCCGTCAGAGCCTTGGGCAGTCCCTGAGTTGACTTTGATCTCTGTCAGTACTTTTTAGTAAAAGAACGCAGTGACCCCTGAATATGATCTGCAAGATAACAAAGAATTCTTAACAAGGAGAAGGTGGGCAACTCTGCGGGCTTCTTCTCAATTTGAACCTCCAGACAATTGCAATATCACCTAATTCGTGTTGTGCTGGACATTCTGCTGTGTCACTTGTACTTTGTCACTGTCACAGTGTTAACTATGAAGTCAGGAGTAGTACTAACCAAGAAAAAAAAAAAATTCAGCCACCTAAAATATTTAGGTTACCTTACTTCTGTGACTGAACATGATTGTGGTAAAATGTTAGATCAGTGTCCAGGCCAGCTCAAAAAGTGTGGACTCAGGGATATGGTGACATGCCAGGGCCTCTCCTCTCCCACGAAGGTTTTGGCCTATTTAAGGAGACTTGGCTTAGAAACCTGTATCATGGGGACCCATTCATGTTACCAGATCACAGAGGAGGGACCAGATGGGCAGCAGGGGGGCCATGTGGGGAGTGGACTGGCAATTTGCCCTGGCCCATGGAGTATAAGAAGAAGGGAAATAAAGCTCAAGAGGGAAGTTCCTAACATGCATATTGAAGACTCCATGGATCTTTCACCTTACTAGTAATGGGGAGAAAAAAGTTTTAATTATTTTTATTTAAAAAGCAGTGTGTACTCTTCATAGGGAAGTAAGAAATATAAATATTAAGGAAAGATCAACTTTGGTCATAACCATGCCTCACATTTTGGTGAATGTCTTTTTTTTTCTTTTTTTTTTTTTTGTACTAAGAATCGAACTCAGGACCTTGTGCTTGCCAGGCAGATGTTGTGCCACTGAGCTATATCTCCAGACCCTCTTTTTATTTTTTTTATTTTTTTGAGACAGGGTCTTGATGTGTGGTTCAGGCTGGTCCCAAATTTACTATGTAGACCAGGCTGGCCTTGAACTCCAGGCAATCCTCCTGTCTCAGCCTCCCAAGTGCTGGGATTACAGATGTGCACCACTCTGCCCAGCCTTGATGAATATCTTTTAACAGAAGTTTTCCATAGTATGTGATAGACTTTTTTAAAATGGTAGTGTATATTGTTTTCTCATGTTTCTTTCTCATGCAACAGCATGTTGTATGTAATACCAACAGTAGTGAGCCTGTGATTAACATATGCAACCTCTCCCTTTATCTCCGGTTTTGCTTTCTGTAATTTTAGTTACCAGGGTCAGCCACAGTCCAAAAATACTGAACTGAAAATTCCAGAAAAAAATTATAAGTTTTAAATAACTTTTATTACAGAATATTGTTAGGATTGTTTTATTTTACTAATCTTATGCCTAATTCATAAATTAAACTTTATCATAGGTACATGTGTATGGATAAACATATAGTATATATAAGGTTTGGTTCTGTCCTTGGTTTCCAGGCACGCACTGGGTGTTTTGGAACATATACCCCTGTGGGTAAGGGAGGACTACTATAATAATAACAGTAACACGGTGAAGCTTTGTGAGCACTACTGGCCTGTGAAATGAGTGAAGTTGCTATCCTCGGTTTACAGAGGACACTGAAGGATCAGAGGTTGAATGACTTGTCCAAGGTCCCATATCCTGTAAGTGATAAAGCCAGGACTGGAACCTAAATTCAGTGTAGTAGCCACGAGGCACATGTGACTGTTTAATTAAGTAGAATTCAGGAATTAGTTCTTCAATCACAGGAACCACTTTTTGGGTCTCAGAAGTTGCACTCAGCTCCTGCGTGGAACAGTGCAGATACAGATTGTTGCTACACAAAGTTCACTGGACAGCAAAAGATGCAGCTTTCACTCCTCTCTAGCCCCACCATGTCTTATTCAGTAGTTTCTGGAATTCCACAGTGTGAATGCATCATAACTTAGTTTGCCTTTATTTATTTTTCTGTGGTGCTGGGGATGGAGCCCAGGTCCTCGCACATGCAAGGCAAACATTCTACCACTGAGCTGTACCCGCAGCCTCGCACACAAGATGTTTCCAGTGGTTCACCAGTGTGGACATTCTCAGACCTAGTCTTTGTAAACAGATTCAGGTTTATGAACACAAAAGTGATGAAACAAAATCACTCTTTGGAGGTGATGGGGCTGGCAACCAGTGGATAGGACAGACTAGGGCAAGGTCAATCTCAGATGGTATTGTAGTCAGAGTTTGCAAGGGAAAGGATTTAATACAGAGCATATAACTTAGGGGATTATTTTAAAACGGTTACCCACAGAGTCAAATGCAAAAAAGTGCAGGAGATCTGTCCATACACTAGAGTCCCAAAGAGTCCAGCTGAGGGCCTGGATCCCACAGCAGTGTCCTGCATGAGTCCATCCGAAGACCTAGACCTTGTCCTCCACAAGCCCAACTAGGGGCCTAGAGCCCACAACGTCTCATGCAAGTCTGTATCAAGGATCTGCACTGGGAAGGCCCAAAGGTCAGTGGTGGAAGCTAGGAAATCTGTGCCAGTGTGATGAAGGATCTGTGCTAACAGGCTGAGGGATCTGCACTGGAGCCAGAAAGTGATGCTCAGAGTTAGGACCAGAACTCCTGCGAAAAGAACTGCAGCCATCCTCAGCAGGAGTGAGGACTAAAGCTCCTCTGACAATCAGAGCAGCCAGGTTCATATCAGGAAAGCCAGTGCGACAAGCTTCTTCAGGAGAATCAACAGTGTACCATCTTCCCCTCGAGTCTCTTTTTAGGGTGTTGGCAACAATCCTCAGGTGGGCCTTCCACACCCAGCACCATGCTAATTCAGTCTAGTTGCGTGTTCCAGTTGACTGTTAGTTAACCCACCACAGATGGGAAAGGTTGACAATCACCCATTGGTGAGCTCTATTTAGGGACCAGGTCCAGTCTAAGCCCATTACAGACCCTCTCTTTGTTAATTCTCACCAACCTAACAAGGTAGGTATCATCATGCCCATTTAGCAGAGAAGTAGTAGAAGCAGAGGACCAGCAGTGTGCCTGCAAGCACTTGGCTGGTGTCATGCTGGATCTATTGCTCATAAATTATGTTGCAATGTTGTATTTGTGGTGCTGGCGATGGAACCCAGGGCCTCATGCATTCTAGGCAAATGCTGTACCACTGAGCTACACCCCCAGCCCCACAGTAACAGAAATAAGACAAAGAAGGACTGAACTAAGGTATGATGGTGGGAAAGAAGTCTCAGTTGTCACACTTGTGAATAATTTCTCACACACCACTGTGTTTCACAGTCTGTGAAGCAGTTTCACACTTGCTGTGCTAGGCATGGTCTAGGGCAATGATGATGAATCTTTGAGAGCTGTCAGTGATACATCCTGCTGCAGCATGCATGCCATAAGTTTGCCACCACTGGTCTAGCATAAGAGACATCCCCAAGGTTACAACTAAGTGACTGACTTGGACACAGTTCAGCAAACCACAATTCACCTACCAAATCCTGTTTGTGTACAGCTCTGTAAGCCAAGAAAAGGCTTTCCATTTTTAAATGGTTAGAAAAAAATCAAAAGAGTTATTGTATTTCATGATGTGAAATTACATGAAATTCAAATTTTGATGTCTCCTCTAAATAAAGTTTTATTGGAACACAGCCACACCTGATATTATGTGTATCTGTAATTGTTTTGATGCCACAGCAGCAGAGACCACACAGTTTAATATTTACTATCCCTCTTTAAAAATTTTTTCTCGTAAAAATTCCCAGGTTAGGAAAATTGTGCCACTGAGTAGGACTTGGTGGATGAAGATGAGGGACCCAGGGAGGATTTTTTTTTTAGTACATATTAGTATCCAAAGAATATTAGAAGTTGAGAAAACGGGCTGCTTTTGTTTCAGAAAGTACATAGTGATGTTGGAGCTGTGTGTTTTCCCAATGAGAAGTTAGACTATACATTTTGTATATCTGAAAGAGCATGTCTGTACTGTTTTTCATTTTGTAGCATCAATTCTGATCATTTTGCTTTTATTTCTTTGGGAACTAGTAGGAGCTGTGTTGAGAGAAATGATTTTTGGTCTTTATGAAAGTGATAACTCATTTGTCACAACTGCTTTTGGGTGGTGACCCAGCTGTGAAAATAAGTCTTAAAAAGTTTGCCTTTATCCCTTCCTTCCCCAAAGAACAAAGCAGAAGGTAAGTATTAAAGGAATAATAAAGAAGGAAATCTGGATTTTCTTTCATGTTACTATTAACTCAGGTGAGGTAAGAAGTGGTTTGAAAATGAAAAGTGGCCACTGATAGATTTTCAGAGTTTTAAAACAACTAGCCACATTTATTTCTTTCTATAGCATGCATAGTTGCCAGGCCTGGTGGAGTGTGCGTATAGTTGCAGGATTCAGGAGGCTGAGGCAAGATGATTGTGAGTTTTGAGGCCAGCCTGGGCTGCATAATAAAAGCCTCTCTCAGAAAAACAAAACAGGGCCAGGGATGTAGCTCAGCGACATAGCACCTGCTTGGCAAGACTAAGATTCTAAGTTTGATTCCTAGTACTTAAAAAAAAAAAAAAAAAAAGGCAAAGTTGTGTTACCAGTCTCATTTTACTCTGGATTTCACTAAATTCTTAGTTCATTTCTTTTTGTTTTTATTTGTTTTCCGATGTTAGAGACCAGACCCAAGGCCTTGAAATTCTTTTAAAAAAATTTTGTTTTTAATGAGACAGGATCTTACTCTATAGTCCAGGCTGGCCTTGAACTTGGAGAACCTGCCTGAGCTTCCTGAGTGCTGGCATTACAAATGTGCACCACCACACTCAGTTAAGGCCTTGTACTTCTTTTTTCTTTTTCTTTTTTTTTTCTTTTCCTTTTTCCACCCTCCCTCCCTTCCTCTTTCTGTACTAGGGATTGAACCCAGGACATCCACACTCAGTATGTTGTCCCCAGCCTTTTTTATTTTTAATTTTGAGACAGGGTCTTGCCAAGTTCCCCCTGCAGGACTCTATCTTGCAATCCTCCTGCCACGGACTCCCAGAGTGCTGGGATTACAAGCATACATTGCCATACCCGGCTTCACTTCTTAAATTGAGGGGCTTCTCATGTTATTTACAGCTTTGCTCTCAATTAATGGAAATTCATTAAAAAAAAAAACAATGAATAACTACTCAAGCTGATCATTAAATTTCACACATCTTATGCTGCCCTGTAAACCTATTCTGGAAGGCTAAGGCAAGATGATGACAGATTTGAGCCCAGCCTGGGCAATTTAGTGACTGAGATTCTATCTCCAAAAAAGATAGGTTGGGGATGTAGCTCAGTGCAAAAGCCCTGGGCTCAGTCTTTTTTATTTTATTAAGTAATTGGATATAAACTTAAGTTAGCACCAGACTTGAGAAATAACAAGAAGCCTATATATAAAACTAAAATTGTTCTCCAGTGTAGGCATTACACACTACTCTGTATTTACACAATTTGAATAAGTTTACTTACTGAGTTTGTTGGAGTCAGAAGAAAATTTTGATACTTTTTGGTTTTTTGTTGAGAAGGTATCCAATGGTATAGCTCAGGCTGGCCTTGAACTTGCAACAGAGTTCAATCCCAGAGTTCTAGGATTACAAGTGTGTGCCACTATACCAGGCTGGGAATTATGATACATTTTAGGGTAACAATTCTTTTTTTTGGTACTGGGAGTTGAACTCAGAACCTTATGCTTTCCAGGCAGGTACTTGTGCCACTGAGCTATATCCCCAACCCAGTGATATATTTTAGTGTTATATCAGCTTGATATTTTTGTTTGTTGTTTTAAGACAGGAGGGTCTCACTGTGTAGTTCAGACTGGCCTCAAACTCGTATTGATCCTCCTGCCTCAGCCTTCTGAGTGTAGGGATTACAGGCATGTACCACCATGTCCAGCCAGTTTGACATTTTTGAAAAAAAAAAAAAAAAGTTTAAACTTTCCTGAAAGAATTTACCCACCCAAGTTCTGTTCTGTTCTGTTCTTTGGATTGAATCCAGGGCCTTGGGTCTGTCAGGCAGCTATTCTACCTCTGAGCTACATCCCTAGACCTTATGTTCTTCTGCTTTTTTAACTTTTTTTTTTTTTTTGGTGGTACTTGGAATTGAACACAGAGCTTTTGCATCCCCATATCCCACTTTTTTATTTTTAGGTATTCGCTAGTTTGCCCAGACTGGGTTTAAATGAACTTGTGGTCGTCTTACCTCAGCCTCCCAGAGTGCTGAGATTACAGGCATGTGCCAGGACACCAGGGTTTTGTTTTTTTTTTTTTCTTGTATAAACATTTATACAAATCTTTGACACTTAGCATTAACAAATCCTTCATAAATTCACATATCCCTTTTGCTACTTTAACAATAATGCCCTCATAGGGCATTTAGAGGCTAGAGCAATGACAGCAGTAGTTACTCATGTTTGCTATGGCCCAGTCATACTTCTGATGGAGAATTTCTTTCTAGTATTTTTCCTGTGTATAAGCATTTTACCATGATTGTATTAACAGCACATTTATGCCCCTTTTACAAACTTTATAGTTTTGTGTTTTGTCCCTCACTTAACATTTCAAAACTATTTTTCCTCAATTTTCATGACTATGCAGTTAGTGTTTGAGTTGGTTCTACATAATTTGCTTAAGTTTTTGGTGGTTCGCAGCTTTTTGCTGGTCTAAGTAACACAGTGATGTGCCCATTTGTTTCCCAAGTGCAGATTTCCAGCTGTCCATTACTGGATGTGGGGTGAGGGATGCCCTTCCGCATCTCCTCATGGAGGAAGTGAAGGAGGGCTGTGTGGTGTGGGTCGTCCAGCCACTCTTCTGCCACAGTCCGATTATCTGTGCTAGGGAAGTGGTCAGGAGCCTCACACTCTGTAGTAAAGAACTGTGATAAGGATCCTTACATCATACTTTATAGGTATTAAAATCTTGTTTTATAGGTTAAAAAGTTTGTTTCCTTTGCATTATTCCAAATGAATGTTACTTAGCCTTTGTCAAATGGTGCACACACACACCTCTCAAACACACTAGCTTACTTCCCACTCAGAGTACACTTTGGCTCTCTCCACCTTCAGTTACTCAACCCTCACTAATTTACATCACTATTTTATTTTTTTTTTCTTAATTAAACAGGAAAGAGCCAGACTTCTCAGAGGTCAGTCTGTTCAACCAGTGGGACCCCAGGGCCTTCTGTATGTTCAGCAAAGAGAGCTTGCAGTGACCTCCCCAAAGGATGGTAGGTTAGGAAGCAGTGAATTGGGCATTATCCCAAAAGGCTACTGGATATTTTATTTTATTTCTTTTTTAAACAGGCTCCATCTCCATTCTGGGTTCTGATGATGCCACCACTTGTCACATTGTGGTCCTGAGGCACACAGGTATGATGAGAGAGGTGAAGGAAACTATTGCTTAAACCAGCCCAACAATGTGGGATCATTTAATTTCTCAATATGAGTTTCCTGGTGTCTGATTTGAAGGCTGACTTCACTCACCTCCTTTCTGGTCTGCATGGTATCTCCCTGGTGCCCTGGTCAAAATGGGTTGGCTGGGCAGCACCGACTTTTCTCTTTTTTTCTTATAGGACATTCAAAGATGAGGCAGCCGAATGGACAGGAGGCATCCTGGCTTGCTTCTCGAGTTCTCATCAGAAATAACCTGAGTCATTTTACCCTTGTTCTTCAGGTAATGGGGCTACCTGCCTGACACATTGTGATGGAACTGATACCAAAGCCGAAGTCCCCTTGATCCTGAACTCTGTAAAGTCATTTTCTGACCATGCTCAGTGTGGAAGGTGAGCTGCACACCACTTTGTTACATGAATTGGAAACTGTGGGATTGTGCAGGGGTGATAGCTGTGGATACTGTTTCAGAAACATGTGATATCACCACCACCATCTTGTTCCCCTAGAGAAAAGGTGGCACAGTGTTGGCACTGCAGTAGCAGCTGTTGAGTGAATGGACAGTGGATACAGACGAAGAGTCAGGGCTGGATTTTAAATGAACGGTTTGACTTTAAACTGGAAATCCCTGTTTCAGTGACAGGGCTCAGCTGTTACTTTGTTACAACCCAGATGTATGAGGCATAACATTAGGTTACTTGATGAAAAGCTTCCCATGAGCAACACTTATTATAGGGGCCAGGGACATCTGCCCTCACTGTGTCCATGCTCTGAGGCAGCGTGGGATGTTGAGTGGTGAGGACATCAGTGGTTTCAGCGTGGACTGCTGGGCTGAAGCTGGCCCCTGACCTGTCTGTCCCCACAGCATCTCATCCTTTCTCTCCCAGCCCTGTGAGGGGCAGATTCCCTCCTTCCTGTCATTACATAGACTTGGCTCACATGTGATCTGTAGCCGCTGAGAACTAGACCATGTACAAGTGTTTAAGGGACACTGTCACTTTCGCTACTGCAACACCACTGACGTCAGTCAGAGAATTTTTTTTTCTCTTTTTTTGGTGTTAGGGGTGGAGCCCAGGGCCTTCTGCATGCTAAGTATGTGTTCTGATGAACTGTGCCCCCAGCCCTGATGTTTGCATTTTAGTGTCCTGGCTGGCTGTGTGCCACAGCCCAGGTTGCTTCATGGGTGTATGACCTATGCAGTTGAAAAACTTTTCATTTTGCACTGGGGTCTGCAGACTGTGTAGTCAGGCCTCACTCCGTGATTCTGGGAATGTGGGTATCAGATGTTCCTTATCTGTTCATAGATTTGGTCACTCTGGAAGTTAGGAGGCAAACCTGGCATTCTAATGGCAGCAAAGTCACAGTAGTCCCTGCCTCCCTTACTATTTAATGTTTCTTATGAGGCAGGCACTGGATGTTGCACTTTGTTTAGGTACACACAATTTCTGGCTTATTCCTTGGGATTTATCTCGGTAGAAGGCAGCACGAAGTATGGCAGCACTTTCCCCCAGGATCACTTCTGCGGATGGTTGTGGGATATGGGAAAAAATGAGTATGGGAAACATGGGGCCAAACAAAATTAGTTTGGTATTTTCCAGTGTAGGAGTTGTCTGCTGTGCTTTCCTGTGCTCATGTATACTGTGACTGCCAGGGAGGGGCCGTGCTAGGTAGGCAGTATTCAGTGGAAGACACTGGGAAAATACACACACACACACACACACACACACACACAGTCCCTCTCCTGCCAAGATGGGGTGGCTATTAGAGGTGGGAGCACCCTCCAAGTATCTGCTTACCAGAAAACTCTTGATAACCAGGTCTCCCCCTTCTTTCTCATACCCCAGTTCCTCTGGTAAAGGCATTAAGAGACTTCTGGAAGTGTCCTACTTGGGGTGGGCAGGCAATGTGGTATGGTCACATTTCTCTAGAGCAGTTTCTCCCCTCTGCATCTAGTGGCATTGCACATGTTCACACAGCCATCCCCTCAGTCATCGGGGCACTTGGGCAGGGTCCTCTGAAGCTTGCAGTAGTCTCTGCAGCCTCTGGACAGCCACACTGGGCAGCCTTATGTGCCCAGTGTGGCCTACAGACTGCATGTATGTGTCATATGTGAAAAAGGCAGAAAGCACCACTGTGGAGCAGGGATTGGTGGAGGCTAAGAAAGCGAAACCAGCACATGTTGGCAGGTGTTGTTCTGGCTCACACCACTGTCCCATCTCTTTCCCAGGCTGGAAGTGCACCTTGTGGGAGGCTTCAGTGATGATCGGCACTTGTCACAGAAACTTACTCATCAGCTGCTTAGTAAGTTTGCTGTTTTAAGTTTGATAAAAATTTAGACGTGTTCGCTTGGGTTAAAAATCCCACAAAGCCAAAGAGGGACACACTTGGAGCAGATGAACAAATGGGGCTGTTTGGCTGGATCTGGATACAGAGTAGATTGATAGTATGGAACTAAGTACCTAGGGGCCAATGAGATGGGGACAGGATTTTCTTTCAAAATAGCAACTGATGCATTCTAGAATAGTAAATCCTCTGAATTATATAAAATAATGGAACTTTTTCTGACAGTATTGTCTAACCTGCAGAAAGTGGAAATACTGATGATACTATTTTTCTCTACTGAATTAGCAAAAAACAAAAAAAGAAGGAGTGAAGAGACTGTTCTTTGTTAACCACCTACCAAGCAGGAGAGCAAGCATAGCACTCGCAGTCCCGGGATGTACATTGGGGCAATCTGTCAGCAAAGCAATCTGGTAGCAGCTTAAGTCTTTAAAAGGTTCATACCCTTTGACCCAGTAATTCTCTAAAGTAACCTAAAAATATGTACAGATTTATGTCCCGAGATGAGGGATAGAACACTGTGTACAATAAGAAATAAACTGGTATCCATCAGTAAAATAATAGTTATGTGGTCACTAAAAAAAAGGATTGAATTATGCACTCCTGTACTTTTCCAAATTTTTTTATAACCTTGATAATCAGGAAAAAAGATTTAAAGTCTCCTCTTACAAATCTCTGTGCCTCCCAAATCTCTGAAAAAATAGGGAAAGCTGAAAGGCTCGGTATCGTCCCGTGAGCATGGGGCTGAGACTCTGCCCGTTGTTCGCAGTCCGGGGTGTGACATCAGCTCACTTGGGTCTGGCCTTAGGCCAGGTGGTGGCCACAGCGGTAGAAAAGCATGCTCAGCTGGCTTCTGTCCCTCCACCCGTCCTTGCTCAGCAGTGTCTTATGCCTGTTAGAGGAACTCTTTAACATCCAGTTTTAAAATTCTAATTATAGGTGAATTTGATAAACAGGAAGAGGACATTCACTTAGTGACATTATGTGTGACGGGTAAGTTGTGCCTTTTCCCAAAACCAATCTGTAGTTTCAGGGACATTTTGCCCTGGGACATTTTGCCTTCACTTGTTTCTGCAGGACCTAGCACCAAGACCTGAGCTGTAGAATCACACATAACTTGTCACTGCTTGGGTGTGTTCCCATGCTTCCTGTGGCTGGCACAGCCTCCAGCCCTTGCCCATGTGAGACTGTGCAGCCTCAGTTCTGATGCTGCACCCCCTGCCCACAGGTCTCTTTGCTTGGGATCTGAATATTGTCATTGCAGAGGAGACCGCTCCATCTTGGGGCAGAGGCAGGGTGTGGAGAGGGCCAGGGCCCTGGCTCTGCGAGTAGCCTTGTTTACACAAGCCTGCTTGGCCAGGACTCTACAGAACATCATCCCTTTCCTTTTCTGTTTTTCCCACTTTGGGAAAAAAAGGCCTTGTTGCCTTTATTATAAAAATAAACACAAGCATTTAGCATTTCTTGACAACTGTAACTTAATTTTTTCTCACTTTCTCAGAGTTAAATGACCGGGAAGAAAATGAAAACCACTTTCCAATAATTTATGGTATTGGTAAGTAATGTGTTAATTTAAGGGTTAGAGGGCTAGTTACACATTGCAAGGCAGGCTTCCGTGAAAGGCTGATTGGGCAAAGTAGTGACCCCACAGCTCTGTGTGTTACAGCCTTGAGTGCAGATCCCAGCTCCTGTATACTTAGTGTGAGGACCTAAGCAGGTAAGTCCTGCACCCCCTGCTCTAACCTGTACGAAACTGTGGTAATGCTCGTAACTTAAGACTGAAAGAAAATAGGTACCACGTGTACAGCACAGATTGTGCCTACGCACCTGCAGGGTCTCTGGCAGGCCTGTTCTTGGAGGTACAGGCGTGCTTTTCTCTAGCTAGTGCTCTAGAGTGAGTAACAGGACATTTGATCTTTGTGTACTTTACAGAAGAGGTAAGGTTTTGATTGAAAACAAAGGTCATACAAAAGAAAGCGTACAATTGTCATGCTAAGAGAGTCTAAACCCTCCTCCCTCTACCACAACCCTAAAGATCCTGAAGATGTAGCCTGAAATGGGCTGTATTTGTGCAGGGCTTCTTTCTGCAATATTTTGTTTAGTGTGTGGTGAATACACAGGTGCTTGATACTTTACTCTCTAACTTTTGTGTATCTAAATACATGGCACTTTGGTTCACAAACTTGATTCTTTGCACAATTCTGGTCGCAAACTGAGTTGGACAAGAGCCAAATCAAATTCAGTGGTTAGGATTAATGTGGACCTTATAGAGAAATTTCATTCAGGTCTCAGCGGGTTCGGTTTGTAACCAGAATTGTGGAGAGAATTCCGTTTGTGAACCAAGGTAGCACTGTAATACTAAACTGAAAACTGGTGCACTTTGCTATCATCACAGGCCACTCTTGCCCCCTACTGCTGTCCCTCTGCTGTACAGAAATGGGTTTGGTCACAGGGCGGACCAGAGAGGCTGTGCACCTGATGGTGGAACAGTGAGCTTCATACCTGCAAGCAACTCTGGGCTTGGGAGTTTGACCTGGCCCAGCTCAGGCCTTAACTACTATCACCAAACTGCTGGTGACAAGGCTGCCTATTTTCTTTCCACAACAGGAAGGCATAGATACTTCAGTCATTTCATTCAGTCATTTCCATTCTTTTCTCTCCATATCTGGTTCTTTGCGATGGTGCAGAGGCAAGACTGTGCAGATTCTCCACTGTGGTCCTTTTTCAGTTCAAGTCATTCTTTTGTCCCTTGCAGCTGTCAACATTAAAACTGCAGAGATTTTCAGAGCTTCCTTTAAAGATCGAGGCCCAGAGGAGGAGCTGCGTGCAGCACGGGCTCTAGTGGGAGGCCCAGTAAGTGTGAACTCTTACGTTAAGGGGTAGCAGGAATAAGGGATGAACTGCCCAAGCCTTCGGCTTTACAGAAAAGTTTGTCTGCCTCTAAAGCTATAAATTACTAGGGACCCCCACATGTACACGTTCTTTGTTAGAAGAGTAAAGAAAGATTTTAGGTTGTAAGTTCAAGACCCCAGTTGTCTGCCTAGAAGGTGCAAGAGGTGATGTGAGTCCACATTGTCTAGATCCAAAGAGAATGAACATATTTACACTGTCTTAACTTTTGTGTAACCTTTACAAAGAGAGGACAGCAGGAAAGGGAGAAGGGTGGTACTTCCCCCCTGTACTTGGGATTATTCCCCCACCCCACTTTTTATCCCTCACTACTAAGAATTGAACCTGGGGCCTTTCAACCCCAGCCCTTTATTTTTGAGACAGGGTGTTAACTGAGTTGCCCAGGCTGGGCTCAAATTTGTGATCCTTTTGCTTCAGCCTACCAGAGTGCTGGGTTACAGACATGCGTCAGGGATCATAAGTTCTTTTAAACCAAGTAAATGATAAGCACTTTGCTGGAATCATTTCATTTCATTAACCAAAAAGAACGACTAAATCAACTTAAAAGTCTTAATTTCCTTATTTTGGTTATGTGGTACAAGGGATCAGCCCTAGGACCTGGCACATGCTAGGGAAATGCTCTACCAAGTGAGCTACATCCTGGATGCCTTTAAGTATTTTTAAAGTCAGAAAGATAATTCAAGGCCCCTTTTGAGGAATAGGTGAAAGAATTCTTTTAAAATGCTCTGAGTAGAAGGTGTAGCCCAGTGGTAGAGCACTTGTTAGCATGAGTCAGGCCCTAGGTTGGATCCCCAGTAATGTGTATACACACACACACACACACACACAAATTTATTTTTATTTTTTTTGCTCATCATGATGGAACACACCTGTAATCCCAGCATTCTTGAGAGTCTGAAGCAGGAGGATCACAAGATCAAGCCCACCCTGGCCAACTTAGTGAGACTGTTTCAAAATAAAAAATGTGAGGTTCAACCCACAGTACCACACCAAAGTTTAGGGCAGGGAGCCCTCACAGTATGAAAGAATATAAATCAGAAATGAGCTTGTTTGTTGAAACACTGGCATTTTCATTGAAAGATATTTGGAGTCAGTGATTTGTTTTGCCAGACTTAACATTTTTAGAATTCCTTTTGCTATTCCTCAAATAGCATAACCACGTTAATTTACTTAATACTCAGAAGATAGTTAAACCTCAGTAACCAAAACTGAATATTGCTGGTAGATGAAAGTTACTATTGGCAAATTTGGGCAGTTCAGGGAATGGACCATTTGGCAAATTAGCTTTTTAAAAATTTTTGTTATTCCTTTTCTTTTGATGGGGGATCAGCCTTTGTGAGCTTTTCAAGTTGCAAGATGATTAGCTGCTTAAGAGTGTCAGTAAGAGACAGTGTTTGTGGAGAGCACCCACACTAGACACACTGCATTTCAGGTCCAGCTCTGATGCTCACTGCACGGGAACCTGTCAGGTTTTTTTTACTGCAAGTGGAAAGAATTTCATCTCCTTAGAGGACTACTATCAGAACTAAACACAGTGACACATATTACCCACAGTGTGCAGGACCAGACACAGGGAACTATTCGTTCAGTAGGTGGCAGCTTCATTACTATGAGACGGTTTTTAAGCAGCTCATCATCTAGACAAATGCCTTGCCATCAACTACACCAGTGTGCACGGTAATGGGACAGGAAAGAGCAGGTAGATGTCCCTACTTCCTACCTCTAAATCATTCTCTTTCAGATGATTAGCATTTATGATGCAAAGATGGAACAACTTCGAATAGGCCCATATTCCTGGACACCATTTCCACATGTGGATTTCTGGTTACAGCAAGATGACAAGCAAATACTAGAGGTGAGAATTTAGAGGCTGAATAAATCTTAATCTCTGGGCCCTGGCTTCCTCATCTATAAGAAAAAAAAGGATTTAGACTAGATAGCAGCTGCTTTTCCTTCAGTGAGTAGTAGCTGTTTTTGGAAGCCACTAGCAAACTTCATTTTATTTGGGGATAAGTGGTGTCCTCCGTGGAAGTGTGCATAGGTAGAACAGTTAAGCAGTCACCTACACACATCTAGGGAGATGCATGTATTGATTTGAGAACAACCTGATTTAAGAAAACAAGAATAGAGCCAGGTTCCTCTTCTGTCATGCCCACTCTTCTTTCTCCCCCCAGAATCTTTCAACTTCTCCTTTGGCGGAGCCCCCCCACTTTGTTGAACATATAAGATCTACCTTGATGTTCTTAAAAAAATACCCATCTCCAGTGAACACACTGTTTCCTGGAAATAAAGCTCTTCTCTACAAAAAAAATGAAGATGGCTTGTGGGAAAAGATCTCTTCAGGAAGCTAAAAATAGAAATTACCAAAGCAAGCAACTTTTGGCATGACAAAGACAACTGGTGGGGTTTGGAAAGAAAGTGAATTTGGAATCTACATCTGTTGAGTCTTAGGTCTCTTTCTTACTTAGTATCTTTCAAATGACTTTCAAAATAAAATCTTACTTTGGCAATGGCATTTGTTTAGATTTACTTTTTGCTTTACTAAAAAGTCAATGTCCAACCTTTTCTTTTTGGTCAGTAATAATGAGCAGAGGAGAACCTACCTGTCTCACTGGTCTGTAAGCAGGTATTTCAGATACTAAGTATTCCTAATTCTACTACTTAGTGCATAAAAACCAAGTTTGAAAAGTTTTTAAAATGCAGTACAATTTAGTGAGAATTTATACATCTCAATTTTTTTTTTTTTTGCTCAAAAATACTTTTAAAGCTTCACATCCAAAACTGACTTATAACAGGTTTGATCTCACTATTCTCAAATACAGTTCTCTAAGATAATCTGTGGGGTTAAATTTGATCTGAGAATTACACAAAACCACTAATAAATTCATTGTTTTAGGTGTAAGATCATTAAAATGCCCAAATTGTGGTATACATCTAGAAACCTGTTGTTTCTGAAGTTCCTATTAAAAAGGAAGTCACGATGCCTGATTAGTAGGAAGGTATAACTGAGTTCACTGGTAACAATTTGAAGAACCTTTATTGAAACCAACATTCAAATAGTATCTCAAGGGTGAAATTGTTTCAGCAAAACAGATTTAACAATTCCAAATATATATATATATGTATATATATAAATTTAAAAATTAATCTTGTTAAAGGTGATAATTTACCCCTCTCCCATGTTATCTGCTATACTTCATTGCACCAAATAAACAGGGAAGACTTTAAGCTGCACCAAAAAAATAAAGGAAAATTACATTTTGACAAGTGTCAGATGTCAGAAATCACATCAAATCAGGGTAATTATAGGCTTAATGTGGTATAACTAAGGCTTCCCACAGTAGTCCACGAATCCAGTGTGAATTCCCCGCCATCTTAAGCTCTCTCCATTCTTCTGACTTTGCGAAACTAAAAAGGCACAGGGACCCACCTTAGGACAAAGGAAATGATGTAGTACTTTGGGAAGATAGAAACCAGCAAGAATTTAGGGACTTATTTCCAGTCATTTCAGCCTGGGAGGGAGGACTTTTGTAGCTCTTATATCTGAGCAGGACCCCACGGTGAGCTGTGAGTAGAAGAAAACTACAAACCTCTGGAGTGAGACAGTCAAGTATGAACTTACTTTAGCATTCCAACCCATGTAGTGCTGCACAGCATATTAGTATCAGGCTCTTCAGAACAGAAACAAGCATAATCTGCACCTTTGTGCTGATTTAAAAGCTTTACCATATTTAAAAATAGACACACACACATACACACACAAATATATATATATGGTCATGAAGAGACTCAACAGTTACTCCTAATTAGACAAGTCCTCAAATTTGTTTACAAAGAGCATAGAAAGGGAGAAAAGATTTGTGGCAAAGGAGAGTCCCAGACAGACAGAAGCCCTGCCATGGCTCAGGTGGACACAGTCCTTACTTCGTCTCCAGGAAAAGCAGCAGTTTGAGGATGGCAGAGAGGGATCTGGATGCTCTTCGGGTCCCACTGAAACTCACTGCTTCAAGCCAGCCAATCCAGGTGTCTACCACAGCGCGACCACCACAGACCCGTTACAACAGACAGAGGTCACTGCTGTCCTGCCTCTGTGGAAGCACAGCACAGAACCCAGAGAGTCCTAATAAAAAGTCACTGTGTGCAATCTAATCACATATGCTTTTGTTTAGAAAGAAGAGAGCAAGTGTTTCAAGTGGCAAGCATGTGAAATTGTGTTGTTTAGAAATAAAAGTGTTTATGGTAACTTAGGAGGAAAATGGTTTTACTACACTTGGACAGGCAGAAACAATAGTTGGTTGTTCTGCATACACATAAAATAATGGATTGCCCTCCTGGAAAGCCTGGCTTTCAGGCATTTATTTGTGCAAAAATCCCAATTCAGCACAAATAAGTCATGTCTATTGGATGAACATGTGGCACAATTCACACGTGCAGTGTAACTTCTTCCCTGAAACAACTATCAGTACAGTCTCAAACCCAACAATGAATTTTATCTTAAGCTCTCTGGCTCTTCCACCTGTGGATGGTCATCTTTGGGATGCTGGGTCCTGTTCCGGAGGGCTTCAATCTGGCTGGCTTGAGAGGCAGGAACCCCTGGCGGTTGCTCAGGCCTGTGGGCCTCTGGGGTACTTGGCTCCAGCCCACTGGACATGTCCTCCACCTTTTCCAAGTCTTCAATGTGACTGACCGAGCTGGTTTCACTCACAGCATCTGAACCTCTTAGGGACCTTTTAAAGGGCTTCTGACCTGGGAAAAGATGGGATGAACAGTGCTGACAGCTTGGTGAGGCCTAATGTGACAGAGGCTCCCTGTGCACCCAGTTATTGCTTTTTTTTGTAACTGCTTGAGGGCAGAAATCCTGGAATTCCTGGTTCTGAAACATTATGAGGAAGGAACTAAGAACTGCTACTGTTACTCAATCATGTTCCCCAGGCTGGGAACTTTTGAGGTCATCTTAATAGACAAGATCAGAATGAGCACCATGGTTAAAATAATGCCAGTGCTCCAGAACCCAACTTGCCCCCTACAGTGCCACCAAGGCATTTCTTTATGGCAGAGTCTCAAAGCTACTAAATGGGTTATTCAAAGGGACAGTGATTCATGGTCTTAAAGAATAATAGGAGTGAGGGTTAAAGAACCAATAAAACAAAGGTATGTAAGTGAACCTCAAACAAGGGAAAACTGGTAAACATGCAAAGGTCTGTTTTCCAAAAAATACAACCAATTTTCTTCCAAGTTAATGAACTCAAAAGTGTGATGTAATATACCTGGAAGTCTCTGTTTGGTGTGAATGCCCGAAGGCGTTGGAGGCGGCGTCACTCCTGTTCCTTGTACTTTGTAGACGTATGTGTGTTCTGTAGACTCCAGAGAGCCTGCCAGGGAGACGAGAGAATGGGCAGAAGCTCCTGCCACAGCTTGCCCCCTAGTGATAGCACTCACTCTACCTTGCGCCCTAATAAGCTGCTTCCAGCATTTAGCTTTCCACAGACTGGCCTTCCTGAAACATGCCAACTAGAGACAGCTGGGCCAAGTGTCCTAGCCCTGTTGAGTGTCAGACCTTCCTCCCCACTTTCCCTCAGTATCTGGGGACACTGGATCAGTGGTGTACACAAACATGCCTGGGGAGCCAGACCCAACTGGGGAATACTTTAGCCACAAGGAATGGATGCCTCTTTGCTAAAGGCTGAGGCTTGGCAGATTAAAACTCAGATTATCTTCCACTGTGACAGTGCCATCATTTCCTAGGGAAGGGGACCTTGGATTTCAGAATTTTAGGTCCTTGGCAGAAAAGGGAGGAGTCTGAGCTTTAATATATCTTTCCCAAATTCTAGCAACTGGTTACACTACTACTATCTAGTTTGAAATAACATGTTCCAGGACTGCATGCTCTGACCTTAGGATCCCCTCTTTCAAAAGCAGCCCTATACTGGGCAGAACATTCATGAAGACTGCAAGGACTGGTGACCCTGAGCTCAAATGCCCTGAGCTTGCACAACAAGCTTGCTGCCTTGCGGTTCTGACTTTAATCGAAGTCTCCTCAAATGGGGTTACAGGCAGGTATTGACATGATATGGCAACCAATGGGCAAAGAAGCTATGGACCGTGTCCTTTTTGTTTTGTTTTTTTGAGACAGGGTCTCATTATGTAGCCTAGGCTGGCTCAAATTCATGGCAGTTTTTCTGCCTCAGCCTCCTGAACAGCTGAATGGACCGGTTCTTGTGCATTCAAGGAAGAGGAGTCAGCTTACTATAGGAATGGGCATCTGCCTTCCTACTATTTTAGTGATGGAGGGGTCTGTGAAAAAAGGTGACAGGGCAGCAGGGACTTCAGATTCCTGCCAGAGGACTCAGGGACAGACGCCAGGAACTGTAAAAGACTTCACAACATGAGGGGTGTTGGGAGCTAACGGTATCTGGTCTAAGCTCCCGTGTAAATGAGATATGAGTAGAGACTAGGCCTACCTGCTGTTAAGTTAAATGTTCTTCCCTTTTGTGAAGCTTGTACTGGAGAAAACCAATTCAGCACGGATCCTACTACAGGGATCTGCCGCAACACTCCCTGTAAAACATAACCCTCACTTCAGGATCACGTTGCCAAGCTGGGCTCCCTGTCCAATGTGGCCAAAGAGTTGGCTCTGGAGCCTCACCTCTTCCAGAAGTCGTTCCTCATTTGCCTTCTGCAGCTGAACCTGAGCTTCTTGAATTCCTTTTCGGACGACTTCTGTCATATTTTCCAGAAGCTGTATGAGATCAAGGAAGGCATTACTTGTCTATGCTTCTTACTGGGGCCTACAGGAGCTGCTGACATAGCACTGGAGATGTTTTTACAGAAGTACATCAGTAACAGAATTATGTGTTTTATAGGCCAGAGTGAAAATCAAATAGAAGAGAGTAAAATGCTTGTGGAGGTCCAGACAGACACCTTAGTGTGACCAGTCTTACGTGACAGGCAGCAGAGGAAAAAGAACTGAGATCCTGTCATATCAATAGACAACACATCACCCACTCAACATTCAAAGAGAAAAAGGCAGAAACCATATAGTCAAGTTTGTAAGAAACCTTAAGAGTCCACCCAACAGTGAATGGAGCTGGTTCCTCACTCTCATTTCAAACTCTTCTCTTCCGAACCCTACCCAAAGCAAGACACACAACATGCATTTCTGTCTGCTCTCAAGACATAACTGGTTTAGGGAATGGCTTTTATCCTGGTAGTCTGCTCCTCCATGCCAACTGGCCAAGCAGCTCTATTTCTGGTGGGAGTCCTATTAGCAGAAATGTCCACCTCACCTGTCTTCAGGACCAGTTTCTTTCAGGAGCTCCCCACTGAGCTTGCAGGCAGAGGAGTCTTCAATGTGCAGCTACTGTGACTCCACAGCACTCACTATACCCAGCTCAATGTGTATTTCTCCCCACTGCCTGACAAGTTCCCAAGGGTACTGTGTCAGGCCTACTTGGCACTCCTCGTTTTCTGGTACAACACTTCAATCACAGAGAACATTTACAAACTTTTTGGGAAAGAATGAGTAGATAAACATTTCCCACAAATGCTTCCTCTTTCATGACCCCAGCTAGTTGGGGAGGCAAAACCCCAAAAAAGGACGAAACAGTGATCAGTCTTACAGACCCTTGAGTTTTCTTCAATTTCCCGAGCTGTGACTGCAATGGTCTCCACCAGTTCAGAAACATCTATGTTGTCGCTTACCATACCAACATAAATGCAGCTCTTCATACTCTTGTACTCAGGGCCTGCGGGAAGAAACAGCAGGCAAGCTTGGCTTCCTTTCTGTTCAAAGGGACGCCTGGGCCACTCCCCTTTGTAACTGCAGGACCATGCCTGAAAAGAGGCCCCCTTTATGGGGGTAATTGTGTCTCTAATAGGCTGAAGATAGGAACTTGAGGAAGAACTGCACCTTCACCTAACCCAAACCTTCCATCAGATGGATGAAGCCATCTAAGCCAATTAGAAAATGCCCTTCCACAGTTCACAGTTAAGTTATAGAAGCAGTAATTACCCATTTTAAATGTAAGGTCAGATTCCAGTTCATTTAACTTTTTCAGGAGTGTAGAATGGATTTTTTCTCCCTCTGGATCTGATTTCAAACTGCTCTTATCATCATTAGCATGTTCATACCTAAAAACAATATCAAACAACGGTACTTCAATCAAAGTCTCCTCAAATGGGGTTATAGGCAGGTATTGACAAGCTGTGGCAACCAATGGGCAAAGAAGCCATGGACGTGTCTTTTTTTTTTTTTTTGAGACAGGGTCTCACTGTGTAGCCTAGGCTGGCTCAAATTCATGGCAATTTTCCTGCCTCAGCCTCTTGAATGCTGGAATTATAGGCATATACCATCATGCCCAGCTGAATGGTGTCTTGAGGTTCAAAACTCTCAAGAATATACATAAGGGCTAAGTCTTTGGCTTTAGGGAAGAGAAGCAAGGTCTGGAGGTCTCATATGTGCAAAGAAAAAGACAATATGCCTCATTAAAGAGGACAGCCACTGCAGGGCTGCATGCAAAGTAGAGGCCAGTGGGGCACTGTCTCCCTGGGAACTGGGTTCTGTTTCTTAATGACTTGGAATACTCTATATACCCTGAATGGTAACCATTTGTCCCCACAGGTACTTGTATGTCAGCGTATAAAGCACACACTCCTAGGGACATCTGCCTCATTAAGTGCAATGGTAGGCCAAATCACGTGCTGTCACTGGGCCTTTGTAAATGCCCACAATGGCTAGTTGATTTTTTGACAGACAACTATATTGTATCTGCATATACTCATCTTGGATTTCAAAACTGGTTCCCAAAAGACCCACTATGTGCATTATTTGGTGAAATCTTCAACATCAAGAGGCAAGTCAAACCTTTACCTGACAACCCCTATTCCAGGCCAGTTGGGGTCATCGACATATAGAAGACCTGCAGTCCCCTCTACTTCCTGCTTGAATTCTTCTCGCAGCTGCAGCGTACAGGTCAGGACAGGCAGTTTGCTTTGGATGCAGGCTACAAGCTGATCCACATCCTCTCCTTGTGTTCCTAACACTGAAAAACATACACAGAATATTTGAGAAATGTGTGTACATGTGTAAGGAATGGCTTATAGGGACAACCTCTCCCCCAGTTAGGAAGGCCAAAAGCTCTAGGTATCGTCAACTAGCTAAAGCTGAGGAGTCAAAAAGAAGAAGGCCACTCAAGCCAGCTATGGAAGAATGAGGTGTTAAAAATTAGCACAGCTGGCTGTTCCAGCTATAAATGTTTTGTAGGTGATTTGGCACACAGTGAAACTCTCCAGTGTAGAAATCAGACTCTTCTCGAAGACAGGACTGCTTTGGTCTGGTTATAAGCATCTTCTTGCAAGTTAATACAAGTGGCAATCAGAGTTTCTCTCTACACTACCACAAGTGGAGGGAAAGGGAAGTGATTTGGTGGTCTGTGTCTGGGACACAAAGAAGGGCATGGCAAGGCGACTGCAGTCATTTCAAGACCTCAGGGCTCCTCTTCTGGCCCTGTTCCTGCTGCCTCGGGAGTTGTGGCCTTGCTTCCCCAGGTTCTGAGATAAAGCCCCCAAGGAGGCTGGCCTGGCCACCAGTAAACTCCACAATGGTGTTCTCTTTCCAGGACAAATACCTATCATTTTCCTACTTGAAGGAAAATACCTTTCCAAAAATGTTGAAAATACTTCATGATAAACCATCAAATATTCCCTGAAAATATTTAAGTCACCTCACAAAAAAGCACAACCAAATTTATATATCTTTTCTTTAAATCCAGTTTTTAAGGCTGAAAACTACATATTTATGGGACACCAAATGATGTTCTGAGACATATGTACACTGTAATGTTCAAATCAGGATAAGCACCTCTATCTCTTGGAACATTCGCCATTTCTTTGAGGGGAAAGCATTCAAAGTCTTTTTTTCCAGCTTTTTTGAAAAACACAGTACATTACTGTTACATATGGTCACCATACTTATTCCTCCTGTCAGTTCAGTCTTCACATCACTACCATCAGGTGGCGGGGACCAGGCCTGGAGATCAAAGATCTTATTCAACGTTCCATAGGTATTTACTGGTGTAGAAGGCACAGCTTCCAGACTTTCTAGGGTAAAATCCATACTGGCTACAGTGCTTTCTGAAGTGTCTAAAATAGTTGCTTTGGACCTTCACTGGCCTATTAAAATTCCTGGGGAGTTTTTAAGATACTGATGCTCAGAGTTTCCGAACAGCTGAATACCTAGGAGGTCCTGGAGGGTTCCATGCCTGGAGAGGACACAGCAGCTCAGTGCCCCTTCCCCTCCGTCTCTTCATCTTTACTATATATATCAAACTCCTTAAGTATACACAATACAAATAAATGCAACTGAGCAAAGACCCAGGAAATCAGATCCTCAGTAGGTGGCCCAGCCACTGGTGGTTTTTAAAGCCTCACAGCGATTCAAAGATGCAGTTATGAGTAAGAACCCTTGGAATAGAAAACCGAGGGACACAGGACATCAAAACACAAGGATTCGAGTGACTTTAGCAGTTTGCTATTTTTGAGAAGTTACAATGGAATGCTAATCTAAATTTAGACCTGAAGAAAAGAAACAGCTGCCCCTAATCCACCACATCTTAAGTGCACACTTCTATTGGGATCTTGTTTTTAATTAGATTTATAATGTGGGTAATCTTGCTAGGGCTATAGCTCTTAGGCTCTTGTTAGTTTTTCTAATATTCCTCTTCACCATGCTTTCTCCTGGCACAGGAAGTGCAGAAATCTCTAAATTGCCAGATCTGTCACAGCTCACCTTTTAAGACAGACCAGGGAATATTTTGATCAGCTCCTTCTGATCTTTGGGCTCTGCATTCCCAACCTAATAGTATAATTTATCCATTCAAGGCTTCAGGTGGTGATCCAGACTACCACCCCTGATGCTCCTGACAGATTTCACCAACCTTTCTCCCACTGCACAGGTGCTCAACACATAATCCCCAGTAGGTAGCACCTGAAACCCCCTTCAGCTGAAGTAGCTACATGACGGTAAGAGCCCTCCAGACCCTCAATTACCCACAAAGAATTAAGGAGATTTGTGTCTCTCGGGGGGAAATGAGGCAGGAGGTTAGGTGTGGCCAGCCAGCTGGGCAAGTGGGCATGACCTGTTCGTCAGAGACCCAGGACACGTGTGCAGAAAAACAATTCCCAAGGGCTACACCTGGGACCAATCAGAAAATGCTATCCTCAATTCTGCTGGTGCAAGATCAAGCAGGTTTTGATGAGACAGCATATATCTTATGTCATCCTAGGGAGTGGCAGGTACAGGGGACAGTGGCCATTAGCCCTGTGGCCACTGTGCTGTCTTTCACAGTGGCCCACTGTCACCTGCAGAATTTACTTTTTTTTTTCCCTACTTCAGTTAGCCCATGCTTGCTCTTTTTCTATCTTTGATAAATGTAAAACTTTGCAACCTTAAAACAAGAAAAAAAGAAATATCCCCTCTAAAACTGATGCTGGAAACCACAGCAAAACAGAGTATCATGGGGGGATTAAAGAAAAAAGAACTCAGATGTGTTACGTACCTGTCTCAAATGCCTACAACGAATGTAATCATTATATACTGCAAACATGAACTAAAAGACAAAATAAAACAAAACACCCAGCGTATCATGAAGGAAAACTAAGTAGGATATGACAGCACATGCTTGTGATCCCAGCACTCAGGGGACTCAGACAGGAGGAGTGCAAGTTCAGGCTCAGCCTGGGCAACTGAGCAATTTAGCCTGACTCTCCCTCAAAAAATGAAAAAAGGGCTGGTGATACATCTCAGTGCCAAGGCCCTTGGTTCCATCCCCAGTATGGCAAAAATAAAAGATGGATGGATGGAAGAATGAGTGGATGGACAGACAGGCGGACGGACAGAGGGACAAATGCATAGATGTTAGATAATCAACCCAACAGCCTGGACTTTTAATAGACATGTTTACCAGAACAGAAGGGAAACAAAGATACTAGTTACCTGCTGCTGTCATCAAGGGGCTGAAGCGCACACACATGCCCTCGACCTCCAAATCCATGACAGTGAGGCCACTTGCAGGCACCAGCTGTTTCAACTGTTCTCCCAGCTGGAGGGAAAAGGACAGTGCACACACATTCCTGCACCACAGCTGCGAGTTCTTCCCCCACTCCCCTCACTAAGCACAGACTGGAAGGGGGGCTCCTCTAGCTCATTTCCTTTCATCTTCAGTTGGTCTTTTTTTTTTTTGGCACCAGGAATTCAACTCAGGACCTCGCACTTGCCAGGCAGGTGCTGTGCTGCTCTGCTGAGCTAATATCCCTGGCCCTGGTCTCTGAATACTTATGGTCACTTTTCTGTTCTTTCTTTTTTTTGGAGACAGGGTCCCACTGTATAGTCCAGGTTGGTGTTAAACTCACTAGGTAGCCCACGCTACCCTCTAACTCTTGCTGATCCTTCTGCCTCAGCCTGAGTTATGGGATTACAGAATGCAATCCTTCAGCTGGCACCACTTCTTTTTAAAAAAATAGTACAATTTACTTTTCTTCTTCTTCTCTTCCTCCTCCCCGCCTCCTCTCCTTCCCCTTCCTCCCCTCCCCCGGCCCCTTCTTCCACTCCCCCTCCCCATCCCCCTCCTTCTCCTTCTTCTTCCTTTTTTTTTGTGGTACTGGAGATCAAACCCAGGGATGCTCTACCACTAAGTGACATCTCCAGACCCTTTTATGTTTTGAGGCAGTGTCTTGCTAAATTGCCTTGCAGGCACTAGAAATTGCAGTCTTCCTGTCTTAGCCATCCTCAGTGTTGGGGGTGTGTGCTACTGCACCTGGCCACAGCCCTTTCATTGTGAGACAGGCTCTCACTAAGCTGCTAAGTGACCCTGGTTGGGCTCAAACTTGCTATTCCCCTGCCTCACCCTCCCAGAATGATGAGATTATAGGCTTGCACCAACATGCCTAACTTATTTTCCTTTTTATTAATACAATTCATTCTATAAAAATCTACAAAATGCAGGTAAATGAAAAATATAAAGTACCCATAACACACCAAACACTGACTGCTGACATTTGGTATACTCCTGTGTTTTTTCTATGGCGAATGGAGTATCTGTCATAAAACACGGTATTTTACACACTTTAAAAATTTTTGTTTTTTCATTTAATTTGTGCTGACCATTTCTTGGCTGCCTAACACATTCAGCAACATGGTTTATAAAGGCTGTTTTGAACTTCATTGTGTGGATGTACTATAACTTACTCACCACACCCTCCAGGGACTGATACTGCTGTGGTAAGCGTCCTTATGCCATTCAGAACACCCTAAATTCCTAGAGGTCTTATTTCAGTGTCCACAAAGTACTGAAGCACACCTCTGGCCCACACTGCCCAACTGCCAAAGGTGCTCAAGGACTTGGCCTCAGTGCCCACTGAAGCAGCTAGATGTTCACCAGAACACCACAGCAGCTGCACTGCATGCCACACTGCAGGCTATTTCAGTCATACACAGCACTCAGGAAACAGCCACAGCTGGAAACTAAGGGAATGATGTCAAGAATGACTGCCAGGGTGGCCATGAAGTGATCTGACTGAGAAAAGTATCCCAAAACAAGTTGAGCACCTTCTGTTATCCCAGCCATGACACTCTGGGATGTAAAGAAAAAGGCAGACAGCAGCCACCTTACCCAGCGATTCAGAGCATCACAGGAATGTCTCTCCCGGCCGAATGTGGAGGGCGCCATGCTGGGTACTGGGACTGCTTTTAAAACTGGATCTGAGGCCAAAACAGAAAGGATTCACTCCCAAAAACATGGCCAATTTAAACATCGCAATCCAACTCCATTTCACTTAGGTTCCATTATTCGCCCCAAGGGAACAGCCTCATATAGTTCTAAAATCAAACAATTCTAACAGAGGTTTAACACACTTTTTTTTCTCACAAACTAATACCTGAATACATTTCCAGAAACAGCATTTTTTTTTTTTGAGACAGGGTCTCACTATGCAGTTCAAGCTGGTCTTGAACTCACTTTGTATCCCAGGCTGGTCTCACACTTGCAATGATCCTCCTGTCTCAGCCTCCCAAGTGCTGGGATTACAGGTGTGCACCAACACGCCCGGCTTAGAAACAGAATTCTTAACTTCACTTTTTGAAAACGTTGCTGCCAAGGCCTTTGGACTAGCCAGCACTGAGTCTACCAACCATTGTACAGTGGCAGCCACAGTGCCCAAGCAACCAAACTGGGCTTCCCAAAACCTATCCTTGGCCCATAAAACAGTCTGGGTGCCTGCTCACACTTGGCACTGTAGACATCTGGGTACACACAGCAGGCAGCGTTTCTGTCACCTTGCAGCTTACAGTCTAACTAAAGAGAGAAAATCACCACATGCTGGTCATTGCTAGTGCCGTGAAAGAAGACCACAGGCCATGACCTAATAGGATGGAGTCCTTCAGACAAGACAGAGAGCAGACACTCTCTGAGAAAGTGGGAACTTAATGGAGAGCAACAGGAAATGCATTTGAGGCAGGCAGAACAGCACAGTGCCAAGGCGGTGAACTAGGAAGGAGCACTGTTATAGGACTGAAGCACACTGCTCAGGAGGGAAAGGGTGGCAGAGGAAGGCAGAGACAGAACACACTGGCCTCAGGGGCCACAGGGAAGAGCCTGGCTTCATTCAGTTGAAACAGTAGGAGACTACCATGCTTTGGGCAGGAAGTGGTATGATCTGGCTTCTACTTCTAATGCTCACTCACTGCTATGTGGCACATGAAGTGAAATAGGCTAAGCAGAATCCAGGGAAGTCAGATCAGTTGAGTAGGGGATGCAGCCATCTAGCTGAAAAATAATGATGCCTTGGTAGAACTTTGAGCAGTTTTGTTGCGGTACTGGGGATTGAACCCAGGGCGTTTGCACTGAGCTGCATCCCCCTTTCCTTTTTTATTTTTGATCTTGAGATAACATATCACTAAGTTGCCCAGGCTGGGCTCAAAGTTGAGATCCTCTTGCCTCAGCCTCCCAGAGTACTGGGATTATAGGCATGTACCACCACATTTTGCTAGGGCATCCTATAAAAACAGAGTTTTCTAGGGGGTTAAACCTACTAGGTCAAAGTATCTGGGAAGTGCAGCACAAGAATCCTTTTTTAAGTGACTCAGCCATTCTAGCCCTGACCCAGAGACTGACGTTTGGGAACCACTGGTATAATCACCATAAACTGATATTTTGGACTATCTAACTTGAAATGATACCAAATTCAAAGCCCTTACACACAGACACAAAAATAAACCTTTTTAAAATCACCTACCTGAGTTTGGTAATTCCTGGCAAAATCTGAACACCACTACTGGAGAACTGAGCTCATCCTCCACCTGCATAAGCAGAAGTTTGGTCTTACCAAGTGATAGTAAATACCAAACACCCATGAAGTCAAGCACTCAGCTGGGAAAACAGGGTGGTAGTGGTCTATTTTGTACATAAACCCATGTAAAAGCTCAAATGTTAATTTCAGTTGCTGAAGTAACAAAAACCAAATGTTTGGTAAAATTTTTAAAAGTAACTATGACCCACTCGAGAATGCAATGTGGTTCTGAGATTAGTATGTGACACTGAAATTAAAGGGAAAATTTTAATATTTATAAACATGAATGATCAGAAAAGGTAAGAAAGAGTAGAACTAGAATCAGTGTTGAAGGTGCCAGTGCTTTCAAAGAATCCTAGAAATCATTCAAGATTTACTAGAATTTTTATACTCAGAAAAGAAATAGAACAAGTACTTTCTCCTCCTCGCCTTGTAAAGTTCTCAGAACAGGATATAGTGCTATTGGCAATGTATAGAGCCACCATGGAAGTGTATCGATGTATTTACTAAACATATATACTTACGTGAGACAGGCAGCAACACCCTTCACAGTGAATTTTCTAACAGATGAAACTGCTCAATGCACTACAATAACACAGCACTAGTTCCTGCCCTTTGCTGGACATTCATCAGGGCACACAGTGAGCAGCAATGTCCCTATAGGCAATGTGGTATTTCTCTGAGGGTGAGGCTCTGGGGGACCAGCTCTCCAAGCTTGCAATAAATGCAGTACTATTCATCTCTAGTCCTGAAATCTATGTTCCTAGGTTGAGTGTGACGACTCATGAGTTAGATCACGATAGGAAATGCCAACTTAAAGACACAGGAAGTAAATGGGCCAAAAGCTTTACCACCAATTTTTCAAGGACCATATGGATGTAATTCTGATCAAGAAAGACTTATATTTAAATCTGCTAATTACTTATTGAGCTAGTTCCTGTGCTAAAATCATTTCATATCTGTCATCTCCTGTAACTTTCACATTTAATTGAGATAGGGTCTCACTATGAAGCTTAGGCTGGTTCTGAACTCACTACATAGCCCAGGCTGGCCTTGAACTCAAGGAGATCCCCCTGTCTTGACCTCCCAAGTGCTGGGACCACCAGCGTGCAACACCATGCCTAGCTTGCCTTTATTTCTTTGAAAGTATTAATATTTACTGAGCCTAGTAGTGCACACCTGTAATCCCAGCACTCAGGAAGTTCAAGCAGGAGGATCACTGAGAGAGTTCAAGATCAGCCTGAACTATACAGCAAGACCATGTTGGGGGAAAAAGAAATAATCAGGGGCCTAATATTTAAATGAACTAGAATAAGGCCAATAAGGAAGTAGAAAAAAAACACAGTGATAAAATAATCCAACCATTCCCCCATCTTTAGTTAAGGTAAAACAGAATGACTTCCTTCCTTTCTCCCTCCCTCTCTTCTGCGGTACAGGGGGTTAAACACAGGGCCTTCTTGCTGAGCTACATCTCAGTCCTTTTATCTTTAAACAGGATCTTACTAAGTCAGTAAGTCACTCAGGCTGGGTTGGAACGTATGATCCTCCTACCTCACCCTCCCAGAGTACTCGGATTACAGTGTGCCACCATGCCCAGCTTTCTTTTTTTGAATTCTCATCTCAAATGCCAATGTGCATAAGAAAGATTGTGCAAGGTTATACACATAAAATTTGGTTCTAGCAACATGGTAGACTGAGCTAATACTAAAGATATCAATTCTAAATATCAAACACTGGATTAAATGAAACCCATAACCAAAACGTTTTAAACTACTGATGCACCCCTGTAGTCCCAGTACTTGGTAAGCTGAGGCAGGAGGATCATCATGAGGTTGAGGTTGACCCTGGGGTACATAGTGAATTAAAGGCCAACCAAAACTACATAGTGAGACCCTGTTTCTACTCCCCGACCCACCCAGCCAAAAAAAAAAAATCCCTGAGCTCACAGCAAAAGTAAGTATGCAAAGAGGAAACAGAAAAGAAGAGCAGGAAGAGCAGAGCATGGATGGGCTGAACCTTGGTTTTCTTGGCCAGGACCTTGGGTTTTAACACCCATGTGAGAGACAGTGGTAAATTTAAGTAAAGCCTCTGTAAAGCTTCTACAGGAAAAAAAACAGACAATGAACACACACATGATTTCTGAGAGCAATAAGGAAGAAAACCTCTCAGGGCAAAGAATGATGGGTGTCAGTGGGAAGGAAAAGCCTGTCTGTATTTGAAGTAAGATTTGCAAGCTAAGGAACTGCCACGAGAGGAACCAGAGGGGCAGTGAGTGTTTCTAGGCAGGGAAGAGCGTGTACACAGCACCCTGTTGCGAGGGCTAATGAAAGCAGCACAAGTGAGGCACTTGTACTGTGGGTGGTATGTGGCAAACATTTTACAAAGCAGCAGCTATAACGACGATGATGAGTGACTGACCACAATGTTTTGTGGAGTCTGCAAACTATTATGTCCACTACCAAAAAAAGCAGCCATTAGAAGAAAGGACAGAGCAGGATTTGTGCCTGGGAGTGTGTAGCCTTACAAAATGGTTCAAAAGAACTAGTGATGGACTAGCTCCACTTGGAGGAAAAAGGACATGAGGAGCCCAGATGAACTCTACAAGGCAGGAATCCCAACTGCATGCTCAGTCCGGGTCTCTGCCATCAGAAGAGCCCAACCAACACACTTCATTGGCTGCTTGACTTGGGCTCAAGAGGGTGAGAAGATGACTCACAGTCACCTGGCTGGAATCATCTCCACCATTCCTAATGGCTGCTCCATTTTCCATGGTTTCCTAGCCAGAACTCAGGCGGGGTGGCTCCAAGGCCATGCACAGTAGCCACCACTCCATCCTCAAGCCTAACCATGTTCTAAATCAGAAAGAAACTGTACTCACTGGAACCCCACATAAATAGTAGGTTTCTTTTTTTTTGTTGTTTTTTTGTTTCCATTTTTTTGAGACAGGGTCTTGCTACATAGTGCAGGCTGGCTTTGAGCTGTGATCTTCCTGCCTCAGCCTCCCGAGTGCTGGCACTCTATAATGTGCTACTAGTGCTGTGCTACCAAGCCCAGCCTAGTTTTAAAGTTAACTGTACTCAGCAGAATTGTCACCCAGCCTATTTAAATCAAAATCTGACCAAAACATTTCCTGTAATTCTAAAACACAATAAAATGAAACATTCCCACCTGAACCAATACTCATTCTTAATTGTTAGTGCTGCTAAATTCGTATCTCCTGTTCTAGTTATTATCCCAGAGGTGCAATCTGAGAGATTCATTTTGGGAAGATATCAAGAGGAGAAAGGAGCAGGCCTACTTGCTTTACTCTTCTTCATTCTACCTTGTGCAAATAAACTCTGGTGTCAGGAGGTTTCACAAAAAGTAGCCCAAAGCACTCCAAGACAGAACAATTTTTCCTTTTAGGAAATGGGTATTCTAAAGTCCTTGGGCAGATGAACTCAATGGTGTTTATAAGATCTTTGTGCAGTTCTAAATTTTAACAGGATAAATGGAGCATATGAAAGGCACTATAGGAATTTAAACACTGTAAGGGACAATTTCTTGGTCTCTGGCTGTCTAAGACATAAACAAATGCATGATGCCCTTGCAAAGGCTTCATTTAAAAAAAAAAAAAACCCAACCAGAGCTGTCACAATTCAACTGAAATGCATCACATTTGGTGAAAAGCATTTTGTTGAAGTTTAAAGAAAAGTATTTCAAAATAGGAAATCATATGCCATACCAAAATTTTGATGTGGTTCACTTTCTTCAAACTTTCCTGCAACCGCTGACTCTGCAAATGACAAACACAGCTTGTGATTAGATTGTCATTAGATTGGTGCACGTATTCACAGTTTTCATGAGGCACCCAAGGTCTGCAAACAAAGATCTTAGGCATCTGCAAGTTGGTGATTTCTAAGTTTGGCTGCCAATTTTTGCAATTCAAGATCTCCAATTATTCTTCAATCTTTTAGTTAGAAGTTACACAGAGTGATTCAAGAAACTCCATTTCTGGTCAGGCGTGGTGGCACATGCCTGTAGTCCCAGCTCTTGGAAGGCTGAGGCAGGAGGATCATTCCAAGTCTGAAGCCAGCCTGGACCACATAAAGAGACCCTAAAGAGACCCTAATGAAACCCTAATGTTTCTAATGAGACTTGTAAATGTATCCTATTAGTGATATAAGCCATTTATTTTGAAACCGCTAAGTAGAAATGTGAGCAATGCATAGTATGAACATTAGGGCATGAGACTAGTGATACATGAGAATACAGCTGGCCTAAGAGAAGATTAAAAGCATAGCTCTGCCAATCAACATCTGTAAGACCAGTTCCCTTAATTATAAAAAGAGAATGATATAATACCCATCTTACTGGGTTGTCGGGAAAATTACATGAGTCAACAATACATTAGGTGCTCAGAAACAGTGTCTACAACACAGTGTGCATTATGTAAGTGCTAGCTATCTTCATCTCCACTGTCTGCCCCAATTCCCATTTCCTTGCCCTCAATATGAGGACAGTAAGTGTCTAACTCATGTGTAAGGGTACATTAATTCAACAGATATTTGGTGAGCATTGGATGCTGGAAAGCTCCTCATGAAATCTCATTTTTAACATGTTGTCATTAGTAGATCTTACATTCTAGGAGATCAGTTGAAACAAAGCATTAAATGTGCTTCATGGTACTTGGTACTAAATAAAAGCTAAAGGGGCTGGGGATTTAGCTCAGCGGCAAAAACGCCTGCCTGGCAAGCGCAAGGTCGTGAGTTTGGTTCCTGGTACCGGAGAAAAACCAAAAACCAAAAAAAATAAAAATAAAAAATAAAAGCTAAAAAACTGCTACCCACAAAGAAGATGGTGATAACAATGAGGAACAGAAGGAAATGGAGAAGATGACAACTTTCTGCTCTCAGGGAACGTATGGAGTGTAAGGCATAACATGGAAAACCATACCTGCTTAAGTTCCATGTAGCTTAACATATGTACTCAGCTTGGGGAGCCAGCAGTACAGTATCAGGCAAGTCCTCCTGAGTATTTGAAATCAGCTACAGGTTTTGGTTACAGGAAGATGCCAGAGCTGTGGTGACCTCAAAGGCTTGGTAATTAATGTCATCATTTATTTTCATGCACTTCATAGGCCCTTGTGAACTGAAGAACTCTCCCTTGATGTCCACTTTCTCTAAATTAGCTAAGTTACTATGGCAATAAAGGCTTCTCTTTCCTAACAACCAAATCAAGATATGACCCAATGGCATATAAGAACACTTTTTTAAAAATGTAGTGCTTTTATAAACACAAATTTTAAAATTATTAATATAAAAAGGAACTAACCTAATATATGAAACTAAGAACTATGCTAGTGAAATATGAAATGTTAATTTTTCTAAAATATAAAAATGACGCTTGAGGAAGTGCCAGTTCCCCAAGAAAACTGACTGTGGGACAAAGGAGCAAACCCAGGGCCTTATATATGTTATACCTGTGCTCTCCCAGTGAGCTACACCCCCAGTTCAAGACATATTTAAAACAAAGACTTAAACCTGTAAACCTGTACGAGTAACTTCCTATATTCAGGACTACTCTTTGAATTTTATATGCATTAACTCATTGAGTCCCCATATAACAACCCTTACTGCATCATTATTCCTAATAAGGTGAGAAAATGGCGTGTCAGGAGGTGACATCACGCTTCTGAATTTAGGAGGGTTCAGCTCTCACTACATAAACATTACTTTTTGCTTTATAAATCTATGGTCTAAATGTGTCTGCCCCAAATTCCTTTTTTTTTTGTCTTTTTGAGACAGGGTCTTGCCATGCAGCTCAGGCTGGCTTTGAGCTCACTTTGTAGCCCAGGCTGGCCTCGAACTCACAACGATCCTCCTGCCTCGGCCTCCTGAGTGCTGGGATTACAGGCGTGCACCACCACGCCTAGCTTTGCCCCAAATTCCTGAAATCGAATCCCCAATGTAACAGTATAAAAGTGGGGTCTTTGGAGGTGATTAGGGCATGAGGGTAGCACCTTCATGAACAGGATTAGTGAGTCTGCTCTCCTCTTTGCCACCACCACCTATGAGGAATAGGCCCTTACCAGATACTGACAATCTGCTGGCATTTTGATCTTAGATCAGCCTCCAGAATTGTAAGCAATAAATTTCTGTTGTTTAGAAATTACTCAGTCCAAGGTATTTTGTTATAGCATCCAAATGGATTAAGAAACTAACTATAGCATAATTATATATTTTCCATAATTAGAACACCTTGAATGCAAAGATAATCAGAACTGTCCCCAGAATCCTACAATTTGGGAAGCCAGTCCAGTGCACTAGGAATATCTATGCCACTGTATCCTACCTCTAACCTCCATATTCCCTTATTGTAGGGGGTCAGTCAGGCTGTGGGAGTACTTATCCTCTTCTCCTCCCCTCTTCTTCCTTCCCTAGAAGTCATCTTGGGACCCCAGTTCTCATCTCAGGCTGACAGCAATATTCCTTTTAATATGATTTCATCTGGGCCCACTGCTGGGTCAATGCCAGCAGTCTCTCCCAGAACTTACTTTCAACAAGAAAGACCCACAAGATGGTCAGTCTGCTTGCTTATGATATGGTAAGCCCAGATGACAATGCACTGGATGGAGATGAAAGATTTTCTGTCTGTACTTTTGTTCAGTCTTTGTGACTCATTTAAACTGTAGGTGTCTACTCACAAGTTGACAGGCATGCTTTATCTTCTCCACAATCCCATCAAGTCCCAAGTATTGTAAAGACAACCAGAGAGGCAGGGCACGGAGTTTGTCTGCTGGCTTATTTGATGTAAGACCAGCAACTAATGTCTAAAAAAAACCCAATATCAATGCATTAGTTAAAGCCATTGGGATCCTAGGGACTAACTAGCTACCATTTATCTACACTTTGGATTTGACACTGGCTTGCATTATCCATTTGATCGTCCAACAACTCCATGAGGCAAATATTCTAGGTATCTTAGCTCGGAGATCTGGAGTGGCAAAACCAGGATAAGAATACAGATAGAGCCCAAAAGTAAAACTAAGCTCCTTCAAGAACCAGGTTGAAGGTTGATTCAACGTTGATCAAGGCTGATCTGAGCATTCTCAAATACCTGGTCATTATCAACAGAGCAAGTCAACAACCGTTTTGGCAACAAATCACTTAACATTTATATTCCATGTGCCTGTCTCTAACGTATCTACTACATTAGAAGCCTTGAAATACTCCTAAGTCTATAATTTTACTTCTGGGAACTTACCTAAGGAAAAATATAAAACTGGGAAATATGTTCATTATGTCACTATTTCAGTAACAAACATTTGAAAACATCCTAGAAGTTCACAAATAGTCATGATTAAATAAATTGTGATACTTAAGTGACAGAAAATTATGCAGGCATAAAATGCCATAAAAATCCTTTATATACATAGGGAAGTATGGAGTGAATAAATAGAGAAATACGTATGGAATGGATTTACATATGATAAATTTAAAATATATAAGTATGTAAAAAAGAAGTGGAATTAAGGGAAAAAAATTCACCTTTTTCTTCATTTTTCTGTATTTTGTCCCTACAGCCAATAATAATTATTTACCACTCCCTCCTTCTCCCCAGGGAGAGTAAGCTCACCAAGGCAGGATCGTCATGTTTGTACAGTGTCACTGCAGGAACAGCAGGCAAACCCAGCCAGGGGCCAGGAGTCAATGTCATGCTGTCACATTTAGTTGCAGCCTGCCAAAAAGAGAACAGCTTTCATTAGATTATCAGAATACAAACCCAACTCCCTCCTCCACTCATAAAAACTGAAAAACCATCAAGAACTAAGAGATTTTAAGCTCCTTCTTAGGAATATCAATATTTAGTAAATCAGTAACATACCAGAACTGATGAAGAGACATAACCTAGAGCCAATGTTGCCAGATTCACCCTGGAAGAAAAAACATCAGTATAAGAACTACAGTAATTACTTAATGTTAATTACTAAAGAGAGCTTTCCAAGGAGAACAAAAACCATAACTGTGCCACTGCAAAGTGACATGTAAGTGTCTTTTAGTTGTGTGATTATCTCTTCTTATAGCAACAGATGTAGATTACACAAATTCTGGGAAACACTTCAAAAAACATTTTTAATAAAAATGTACTTCAAGGGATAACTCATTTATTTGGTATGATGCACATTACTCCATTTATTTGGTATGATGCACATTACCTTTCACAGCTATTTTCCAGTCATCACTCTTTTATTTTATTTATTTATTTATTTTTTTTGAGACAAGGTCTCACTGTGTAGTTCACAATGGTCTTGAGTTCACAATGTAGCCAAGGCTAGCCCCGAGCTTGAAGTGATCCTCCTGCCTCAGCCTCTCTAGTGCTGGGATTGCAAGTGTGCACCATCGGCTTGGATGTAAACTCTTCATGAGGACTACACAAAGCCAACCAATCTCATCATCTACCTACCCCTCCACATGAAGCCATATGCCATACTGTTCACAGAGCTCTTTCAAACGTCCAATCTTGTCTGTGTGCCCGACTGCTGCAGTTCCTACCATAAAGCAAATAGGCAAGAATATTAAAAGGAATAAATATTGTGTGAAAAGCTAAGAGCTTTTATATACAGAATCTCTCCAGGAGGGAAGTAACTTATTATACCCCTGTTCTGAGAGTCTGTGGACCAAAATTAATTTCTTTTATGTGCTATTTACGTAAGCTTTGAAGGTATGCATTCTCCATTATATATATCTAATTGTATTACTAAACTCTCTTATATAATGATTTTCTATGTACTCTTCCTGTTAATTCAAGATATAGTTAAGTTTCCCACCAAGCCTGTGGATCTGGTGAATTATATGTGCATTCTGTTTCTTTCTTTACCTCTAAGTATTTCAAAGGTATATCCCTTAAGCATTCCTACTCTTTTAGCAGACTGTCTTTCATCAAACAAAGTTTATTTTACATACTAATACTGCTATAGTATTTTTTTGTTGGTAGCATTTGCCTGGTAGCATGTGCATACGTGGCGAACCTATGGCACACGTGCTGCAGTGGGCTGTTTGTTATTATTGAGAGCCTTGAAAGGTTCACCATCACTGGCCTACACTACCCTTTCCCACTCCTTTTCTCTTTCCTTTTTTGTCATTATATGGATTATTTTGAGTATGTCCTTTATAAGAAAAATACACAGATGAATTTATGTTTTTTTCTCATTCCAAAGCCTGTTTAAACATACTAAACACTTTCAGCCACTCCTTTGATAATTTGATTGCATTACAGGTTTTGCTGGGCAGACTTTTCTGAGACATAGCTTAAATAAAAGTTGGAGTCATGCATTTTCCCAACTACCCTAAGGTTCCAGTTAGCAGAGTCCCAACTACTAAGAGTTCACTCCATCCCCAAAGGCCTCCACAACCTGGCCAAAGAAAATGGTTCTGCAGTCTGTGCCAGGAAAAGGGTGAAAACTTTCCCTTTTGCAAAGAAACCTCTCTCAAATTTTAAAAAGCGTTCTATTACATTTAGGTTAGTTGAAAAAGATCAAATGGCAGCACAGGGGCAGTGCCACATGATCCTACCCTCCAAATGAAGGCACAGAGCTGTGTTTAGTGACTGGACCACATTCAGATTCCTTTTCGTATTTTTTTGCAATGTCTACTGACTAACCCGAGATGTGTACTCTGGCCGCAGCAGTGTGGCCACTAACCAGTCATTCAGTCACATGCCAGATGCAGCCCCTTCAGTCTATCAAGTGACAATATGGGTGAATTTGCTTCCTTTTAAACATACAGTAGATAAGTCAGGCAAGAAATTGTGATTTTCTTGCTGGCAATAAGGTGGACACTTAAATATTTTCTTATTTTAAATAAACAGCTTTATTAAAGTGTAATTCATAGGCAGTAATCCCACTCATTTAAATGTATAGTTCAGTGAGTTGTGATAGACACATATAGTGTATAATCTAGATACAGAATATTCCTATAATCTCAAAATGTAATCAAGATACAGACTATTCCTATAATCTAATCAAGATATAATCTAATCAAGATATAATACCAATATAATCAAGATACAGACTATTCTCATAATCTCAAAAACTCCTTTATCCCCACCATAGTCACTTCTCTTCCTAATTCCTCACTAGCCCCAGACAATCCTGATCTCTTTCTGTTAGTATAGTTTTATCTTTCGTAGAATTTTTTTTTCTTTTGTTTTGTTGAAAAAGGGTCTTGCTACATAGTTCAGGTTGGCTTGAACTCACAGCAGTTTTGCGTAAGTCTCCTGAGTGCTAGGATTGCAGGTATACACCACCATGCTCAGCTAGAATTTCTTACCAATGGGATTATACATTATGTAACATACTGTGTCTGGCTTTTTATACTTAGCATGTTTCTGAAATTCCTCTATGTTGATGTTCATTTTTTATTTTTTTTCTGAGACAGGGCTTCACTAAGTTGCCCAGACTAGGCTTGAACTTGTGATCCTCCTGTGTCAGTCTCCCAGAGTGCTGGGATGGCGGGTATGCACAGTTCTTTCCATTTATTGATTAGCATTGCATTACATGGACACACCCCAATTGGTTTATCCATTCACAGATGAAGGACATCTGTACTGTCCTATTCTTTAACATTTTCACGTAAGTCTTTGTGTGGAGATGTTTTCATTTCTCTTTGATAAATAACTGGAAATGGAACTGATATATTATATGGTAATTTTACATTTAGCCTTTTGAGGAACTGGCAAACTTTTCCAGAAGGACTGCAAGATTTTGCATCCCCACCAGGAATCTATTAAGGTTCCAGTTGCTCTGCATGCTCACTAGCATTTGGCACTGCAATTATTTTCTGCATTCTAACGGATATGCCACTGTGTGTTTTTTGTTTGTTTTAGGTGTGTGTGTGGTGCTGGGGATCAAACCCAGAGCCTTCTGCATGTCAGGTAAGCACTGTCATTGAGCGTCATCCCTAGCTCTCACTGGTTTTAAACTGCATTTTTCTAATGATTAGTGATATTAAGCATTCTTTTTTTTTTTTTTGGTACCAGGACTCGAACCCAGAGCCTCACACTTACCAGACAGGTGCTATACCACTGAGCTACATCCCCAGTTCCTAAGCATCTTTTCAAGTGTTTATTTATATATCCTTATATTTTCTTTGTGAGATTTCTGTTCAAATCTTCATTTTAATAACTGTATTAGCTGTCTTACTCATTTGTAAGAATTCTTTATGTATTTTGAAACATTTTCAGAAAAATGTTTTGCAAATATTTCTTCCAGCTTGCTTTTTGTTTTCTTAACAGGGTCTCTTTCAAATAGCAAAAGGTTTCTTTTTCTGGTGCTGGGAATTAGCTCCAGAGGCTTGCACATACTACGCACATGCTCTACCACTGAGTTATATCCCCAGTCACACTTTTAATTTCTGATAAAGTCTAATTTAACAAAAAATGGTTTTGTGTCTTGAGAAACTTTTGTCTAACACTCAAGATCACAAAGATCTTTTCCTTTATTTTCTTCTCAAAGTTTTGTTACCTTAATTCTTATGTTTAGGTCTATTAGCCATCCATAGTTTATATATAGATATATATACACACACATACATACATACATACAGATAGACAGATACGGGTGAAGATTCAGTTTTTTTTCCTACACGGATATTCCCCTTGTTCCAAGACTACTGGTGGAAAAGACTAACAGACTATTGTTCTTACCTTCAATTACACTGATATTATTGTTAAAATCAAATGATCAGCTGAGCATAGGGGTATATCCCTGTAATCCCAGCATTCTAGGAGGCTGTAACAGGAGATCTGCAAGTTTGAGCCTAGCCTAAGCAACCTAGTGAGACCCTGTCTCAAATTAATAATAAAAAAAAGAACTGGGAATGTAGTTTACTGTGAAGGCCTTAGTCCCACCACCAAACAAAAGTGACGTATACATTATATAAGTATTTATGAACTTTCTATATTCTCTTTATTTAATCTCACACAGTTTTGATTATTTGTAGTTTTATGTGCGTTTGTGTGGGCATGTGCTGGAACCTGAACCTATGGCCTCATACATGTTCAGCTTGTGTTCTACCACTGAAGATATTCTCAGCCCCTAGATGTAGCTTTATGTAAGTCTTGAAGACAGATAAGGTAAATCTTTCAAATCTGTTCTTTTTCTTTCTTTTTTTTTTTTTTTTTGGTACTGGGAATCAAACTCAGGACCTTGCGCTTGCCAGCCAGGTACTTATGCCACTGAGGTATATCCCTGGCCCAAACCTGTTCTTTTTCAACATTATTTTGATTATTTTCAGTTCCTCTGCATTCCCAAACTGGTTTAGAATCAGTGTCTATAAGAAACCATGGTGGGCTGAGGATATAGCTCAGCAGCACAGCACCTGCCTGGCAAGTACAAGGCCCTAAGTTCAATTCCTGGGACCAAAAAAAAAAAAAAAAGAAAAGAAAGGAACTGCAGCTTCCTGAGATTGAGAGGGACTGAGTTGAATCTACAGATTGGTTTGGGGAGAACTGACTTAACAATACTGACCAACACATGGTATATCAGTCCATCTATTTGAGTCTTCTATAATTTCTTTCAGCAACATTCTATAGTTTTCAGAGTACAGATTCTGCATGTATTCTGTTAACTTTATCCATACACTTCTCATGCTTTTATGCTATTATAAATGACATTTTAAATTTTATTTCCTGCTGTGCATTACTAGTAGGCAAAAATCCAGCAACCTTGCTAGGTTTACTAATCAGTTTCAGCAGCTTTTTCTTTAGTTTCCTCAGTTTCTACCTATGCAATCACCAATAAAGCCTGGTGTGATGGTGCACATTTGTAATCCCAGCACTCAAGAGGCTGAGACAGGAGAATCGCCGTGAGTTTGAGGCCAACCTGTGCTATACAAGCAAGTTCAAGGCCAGCCTGCACTACATAGCAAGACCCTGTCTCAAAAAAAAGAAAAAAAAAAAATCAAAGAATCAAGACAGTTTTACTTCTTTTCTAATATAAATATAATCTAATTATTTTTCTTGCCTTGTTGCACCATCTAGGACTTCAAGTAGAATGTTGAATTCAAAACAACAGACAGAGCAGAAAGTGGTAGTTGACATGCTACCTACAAGGTGGATATTTAAAGTAATATTTTGGGGATGGGGGTGTAGCACTTAAGCATGTGCTATGCTCTGGATTCAAATCCCAGCATGGGGGTGGAAGGAGTTTAAGCATGACATTTCCAAGTTCAATTTAGAAAGAAAAAGAAAGTTCATAAAAGAAGCATTTACAACCTAAATGAAAAAGTACACATACAAAGTAACTCCCAAAACAAATTGACAACTGAAAAATCTAAATACCTAACTTTAATATTATAGTTCTAACTACCACATGGACAGTCTATCTTAAATACAGAGTACACAAACATTTCTTCAGACTTGGTCTTTTTAGACTAAGTGCTCCCTTATACATCCAAAATCAAAGATTCAGTGTTATGATACCTACCGGCATTTGCAACAAGCAACAAGGGCAGTCTTCCTCGTTCTATGTCATCTTTAATCAGTTTCTCCAGGAAGGCAACATCCTGAGGCAAAACACAACAAAAATAAAAATAAAACCCTACAAAAACATGAGATAACCAGTTAAAGTTATACAATGAAAAATTATAGCTTCCAAAAAAATCCAACATGATTCTCAAAATTAATCACTCAAGTCAATTTTTATTCATGACCATTTGTTTTCCTTAACACGAAAATTTTCCTCAAAGACTAATGGGAAAAATTAGTTGAACAATATAACATGTAAAAGGTATACTGCCGGGCATGGTGCACATGCCTGTAATCCCAACATTTGGGAAGCTGAGGCAGGCAGATTATCATGAGTTCGAGGCTTAGTGAGTCTAAGGTCAGTCTCAACTACACAGTGAGAACCTAAAAATAAAAATAAAAACAAAAACAAAAACAAAACAATATACATATGCAGGACCAATATTTCTCTAGTTTTAAATATTTACGTTTAATGAAAATGTCCTCTCAGTCTCCTTAAAAAAAAAGCCAAGAATCCATACTGACACTGATATACCTAAATTAAAAATAAAACTGCCTTGAAAAACAGAATACAAATACCTAGAATCTATTCCTTTTCCTCCAGCTGTAATATGCAGAAGTTTATCGCTTGTACATCTAAAAATAAGAACAGCTTAACCCCAAGATTACAAAGAATCTCAACTTCAAAATCTGCCATTTATAAATACAGGCTATATTAATAACTACTTAAAAGTATTAGCTTTAGAAGGAATTTCTGGTTAATTGGCTGCCATGTTTCTACTTAAAGAATGTGATATGGCTGGGCAGAGTGTGTGCTTAGCATACATGATACTCTGCATTCAATACTCAACCCCTACCCCCAGAAAGAAAAAAGAAAAGAAGCAGGTGACATGTGATTACAAGAGCCCTTAACAGCTAGGTGTTCCTGACCTTTGGCCAGCCTTATGGGCATTTAAACACAGAGGCAATAGAAAGACTGAAGCAGCAAATGAAAGCTAGTAATTATATGGAGGCCAGCAAAGAGAACTTCAGTTGAAAAGACAACACAGTTTCAAAACACAATTTCATATTATTTCATAGATCAAAAGTATAACTCACCATCTGATGCTGGGACCCAAACATAGTGTTACAAGGCACACGACACAAGCACGGAAAGGGCAAACCAAGCTGCGAGAAGAAACATTCAACTTTAAAAGGAAGATCTTTGTCAATATTCACTTAGGAAAAAAAAATTTTTTAAAATTCACTTATGATTGTGAAACATTGAGGGTCTAAAATAAGACACATTTATTCTTTAAAAAAAAAAATCTCAGGGTGTGATGGCACACGCCTATAAAACTGCAGAACTTGGGAGGCTGACACAGGAAGATCCCTGCAAGTTTTAGGCCAGCCTGAGCTACACAGTGAGTTCAGGGCCAGAACTACACAGCAAGACCTTGTCTCAAAAAAGAAATCTCTCCCCTTAGGAATTCTTAATATTATGAATATATGTTAAAGTACATTTGGAAACTCATAACAAAAGAGTGAATCTCCAAGCACTTTATAAGAGGATACAATGTAAAATTTTCTAAAATAGTCAAGTAATGCACCAAAAACCAAACACTTTTCTAAAGTAAGCAATTATTGAGTGCCCAGCATTCTGGAGGGTAATTTAGGATTCCTCCTCCAAGCATTTCTGGTAAATAACACTGGGTAAAGGCATTTGAAGAATAATATCTTATTTATGGGTCCACCCACCCCTAAAAACAAATAAATATGTATTAGCAGATGTACATTTCTTAGAAAAATGAAGTCACTGTTACAGAAACAATTATTATTGTCAAATTAACATTATATTCTTATTTCTAGGTTCCAAATCGTTGAGGAATTTATATTTTGGAATTGTAAACAGTTGCAGAATATTGTCCTATAAAGCTAAGATTTGGTAGCATTTAAAGGCCCAAAAGTTAGTAAGTACTTTATTCACATATTTTTCCCCTTAAAGTCTTTTTTTTTTTTTTAAAGTAGCATTGGGGATTGAACCCAGGACCTTACACATGCTAGGCAAGAGGCTGTCTTACTGGGCTATATACATTCCCAGCCCTAGGATCTTTTAAAATGTTACAAAAGTGATACCAAGTAAAACAGATCAATGAAAACTAGGCAATGTAAGCCACTCATCCACCACTGGTAACAGTTTAGTATATAACTTTCCACATATTTTCTAGGTATAAATATATGTATACAGATAAACCTATTTCTTAGGTATTAAAATATTTTTGTAGATAAGGGTCTTGCTATGTAGCCCAGACTGGTATTGAATTGCAGACAGGATCTCACTATGTAGTTCAGGCTGGCCTCAAACTCTCTGGGATCCTCTTGTCTCAGCCTCCCAAATTCTGAGATGACAGATGTGTACCACCACAACCAGAAAAATGTTCATACCTTTAAAAACATGAACATAACCATCACACATAGTCACTAGTCTGCCACTTGTTTTTCTCAGTTAACAAAATACTCTTACCCATGTTTTGATGATTAGATTGCTCTCCCAAGACAACTCCAGATCCACAGGAGCCTCATTTAGAGTACGTACTCAAAGAATTTGTGTCCTGTTTCTACAAGAACACAGAACTCCTGCACTCTGGGAGGAGGAGGCAGGAGCATCACAAATTCAGCCCCAGACTGAGCAACTTAGCGAATTAGCAAAAACCCATCTCAAAATAAAAAATAAAAAGAGCTGGGGGTGTAGCTCAGTGTGAAGGCCTTGGGTTCAATCCCTACAACAAACAAAAATCGCTCCCCACTTTGTATAACCTCGAGAACAGGACATAATCTCTTGTGATCAATCTTCATAGCTCAGCATTAGCTCAAGTCTCTGAATTTCTTCTATTCATCTCCCAGGGCCTTCACATATTCTGTCAACCCTCAAATTTTATGGTTTTATGTTAAAACACTCCTGGTCAAGAGGGTTAAAAATTTCTTACCTCAAGGTAGTTCCCCCAGCTGGGTTATATCCATGCATGAACTTTAAAAATGGTAGTGCTCTTTGATCTAGTAATTCTAGATTGGCTCTGAAAACCTATCAACAGAATAAAACTCCAAATTTAGAAAAAACTTTTTTGGTTTTTTTAGATAAGGGTCTTGCTATGTAGCTCAGACTGGTTTTGAACTTGCTCTCTGAGCCTCCCAAGTACTGCAATTACAGGAATGTGCCCCCACTCCCAGCTCAACAAAGCTTTATGTACCAAGATGGCCCTAACAGCACTACACAGACAACACTACCTGAAAGTGGTCACAGAAAGCAAGGGAATGGGAACACTCTTCATTGTCCAAAGGGGAAACAATTACATTACTATTTACTCCCTGAGGAATTATCATGAAGATATTAAAAATAACCTTTAGGTGAATTGTTAAAACATGATAGGCCCGGCGTGGGGGCACATGCCTGTAATCCTAGCACTTGGGAGGCTGAGGCAAGAGGATCACTGTGAGTTCGAGGCCAGCCTGGGCTATAAAGTGAGTTCAAGGCCAGCCTGAACTGCATAGTGAGACACTGTCTCAAAAAGACAAAAAAAAAAAAAAAGAAGAAACCGATATACTACTGCTGTTAACAACAGTAAGTGAAAGAAAGCTAGATACAACTATGTAACAACACACACACTTTGACTAATGTCTGGAAAAAAACAAGATAAAATGTTGACTGTGGTTGCCTCAAGGCAACTAAAAAAATATAAACTATCACATTATTTCTGAATTCAATGACACCAGATTTTTTAAATAACAAAACAAGCACACAAGAAGACTTTCAACCTGAAAAGAATACCAACTAAGGGAATAAGGCCACAGCTTTCAAAGTTTCAAGACAAGACAAGTATGTGCCATGCCTGTAGTCCCAGCTACTTAGAAAGCTGAGGCAGAAAGACTGCTTGAGCTCAGGAATTCCAGCTCACCCTGGGCAACATAGTAGGACTCTATCTCAAAGGGAAAAAAAGAGAAAGAGAAAATTACCTGATTACAAAGGTACTGGCCCAGGCCAGGTCTTGCAGCAGCACTAAGATATATAACAGGCTTTTTGTTATACAACAGGTTAAATCCATCTACTACAAAGTCTTCATATCGAGAATGAATGGCAAGCCTACAAATCTTGGCAAGTCCTTCTCTTTCTTCTTCATGGAAATAAGCACAGCCATTTTCATACCTATTAAGAGACACCTATTTATTAATGTTCCCCTATTTCTGATTAATTCTGATTTATAATCTTGTAATCATGGAAGCAATTCTTCTGTCAAGCTAGATAGACATTTTGAGCTGGTCAAGCAGAGAGGAGAGAAATGTGAAATACCCGCATTTAAACTGCTGACAACCCACTATAGCTGGAGATTACAAAGGGGAGGCAACGGCCTTTCACCCATATGATACTCTAGAAAAGGCAGAAAATATGGAAAACAAATAGAGATTAGGAATCCTCTGGATACAAAAAGCCTGAAGATCACAGTTTCAGCTTATGAGGGCCAGCATGCAGGTATGGTTGTTAGCAGAGTGTCAGTCCTAAAACATCCAAAACAAATAAAGCTGCCAAAAATGCTAATCAGGCTAATTTTTGGTTTTATAACAGTCTATTTGGGGCTTTTATTCTTCTCAATCCCCTTGAGAAGGAGGGAGAATAAAATGGAAGTATTTGGTTCAAATCATTGTTCTATCACCTATTAACATGTGACAAATGGGAAAATAACTAAAAATAAATGCTGACACTATAACGCACATGTGCTTATAGTCTCAGCTTTTTACATGTATTAATCAATGAGTTCATTTAAAACACATAAAAATTCAATGAAATAATACTAATGCTTCTCCCATTTAAAAGATGATAAAATTGAGGCATAAGGAGGTTAAGCAACCCTTCCAACAAGTGGTATATTTGAGTTCAGTATACCTTCAGAAAAAAGATACCAATATCAGACTCAAACCATCTTTACTGGAAAGTAAAATTCATGTCTTTACCTGAAAATTCTGCAGAGCCATAAAGTAGTATCTGAAAGTATCCTAGTTGTAAGTTTTCTCAGCCTTTCTTTGTCCAGAGTTGAAATATAAGCTCCCAGACTATGCCCCAACAAAGCCATGTGACCTTGTTCTCCAATATTCTGGATTCTGTTAATAAAAGTTCATTAGATTAAAAGAAGTATTGAGTCAAAGAATAAAAAACAGAACTTAAGGGACACAATGTTCCATTGAAATTTGGCAGGCTTGAAATCCACTTAATGTCCCAGAAGGCAAAAAATTTAGATAAATTCAGAAAATTCAACGTACATAAGGTGCTGAAAGTTTAGGAGAAATACAGCATTAAAATTTGAGTCCTCAAAAATTATTGTCCCCTTTTAAATCTTTTTTAAAGATAATAATAAAAAAATAAAAAACACGATGTCAAAACAAGATGATAGGAAATTAACAATGGTTATTATATTGCATATTGCTATCTTCAAAGTAGTTGCTCAGATTACCAG